ACGTAGGATTTGAAGGCCAAGTGTAGAATGAAGTTGCCCTAGTAAATAGTAATAGTAGTAACTACTCCAACTGTAAGGTTGGATGTATCGTTAACTGATTAATTTATGGACTGAAAGTATATCCATGTGAATCAATTAACTATCTTCTCTGATCTGCTGAAGTCATTAAATAATTTGTGCATATGAATTTAAGTGGTAATCTTTGAAAAATTATTGTACCATGAACTTTACACAAACATGTCAATATTTATTTGGCCTTTAACTAACCTCATAAGCCAAAAGATGTGTGGGAAAATATAGATGGTTATTTATTTATTAGAAAAGTGATATTTTGCGCATGAATTCCAAAGCTCCTCCATTATTTTAAATTTCAATTCGGGGTTAAAATGATTTAATACACATTGATATAAAATATGGTGAGGACAACATAATTTGAAATAACTATCTCGTTGAATTAAAGTTTAAATTAATACATATCATTGATAGGTCTAATTAATGGATATTTTTTTAATCGTTAGATAAGTGAAAATGTCAATGTGTGATTGTCACTACTTTAGCCTTATCATTTAATTGAGTTTAAGCTCATTTAATTATAAAAACAACCATGATTTTCGAGCCAATCTTCATTATTATTTGGCAAGCTTCCTTATTGGTTGTTCCTCGTTAGACTACATAGATTATTAACTTACAAATTGTATTTAAAATAATAAGTTTTGTCCCCCTTATATTAATATGAAACATAATAAGCTTTCCATCTAAAATATCACATACTAGTATATATTTATTGAATACGTAGCATAATTTAAACTAGCTTAGTAACAAGATAAACGAAATCCAATCGTATCCAATAATCCAATGAGGTATATATACTACCCACATAACTCAATCTATCATTGTTGTTCAAGGTCATGACTAGATTGACTACTACCAAACTTGTGACAGACATAACTTGAATATATAACTCCAAGTTTATATTAGTACAAACAAATGCAAAGAGATGTTTTGTCACACCCATAAAGGACCTCCACAAACATCAAAATATTTCTTACAACAGGCGGCAGATGAGTATGCTTGTCAATCTTTATTACTTCAATTTTTTATAACTTTTTTTAATTATATTTTTCATATAAATACCTTATTTTATACAAATATATGTGGAGGGGAATATTAATATCTGATTGGTCTATGCCGTTATTATTCCATGTGGCTCAAATACAAGTGCATATGATAAAGTATACGAAAGGTGACGCAACTAAACTCACAGGTGGCTAATAACTAATGATTAGTGAAGATATTAGGTTTAGTGACAAGTAAGAGAGAAAAAAATTAGAAAATAAGAGGGGTGGGAGAGAAGTAAGAGTTTACAATTAGTGACTTGTTACAAATAATAAATTTGGAACAAAATCTTCTACAACAAAAATAAATATTAAATAGCTAAGAATCTTTCAAATTGTCATTAAGAGATGATGTAAGTCAATGATTATAATATAATTAGAATTTTTAATTTTAAGCTTGTTTTATTTTATAATTAGCATATATCTATCAATGAATCTCATATTGGATATATGAGATAATTAGTAAGTATATGTTAGTTGCTCTCTATTTCAACGGTTGTTAGTTTTTTTACTCCCGTAATAAATTAAATACATGTGAAATTCTAGCAGTTGAAAATGATGATCATAGAAGAAATTTAATGTAAGGGTTTACATATATTTAAGGCCATTAGAATTTAGAATAAGCTAGCTAAGAAAATTTCATGCATGCAACCATAAATACTTGATTTTAATGAAAATGAGAATGAACTTAAAAAAGTAATACATCAAATATGATGAACTTTAATTTATCAGACTATAGAACCAACTCCATCCAAGAAAACTATACCTAATAGATTCATTCATATACCTATTTGATTCTTCTTTATCCATCTACTAACACACCCTAAATTTAATTATAATAATTCTCATGCATGGAATGAAAATTAGGTGATAACCACTTACTAATTGGTTTTTTTTTTATCACCAATGATCACTAGAGATGATATCATGCATGAAACTATAATACATACCGACCTCCATTTCGAAACAATAAGAAATATAATGTCCAAGATTCCAAGTAATGAATACTTTTTGTCAAAATGTGTTTATTTTAATTATTAGCTATTCTTACAATACATAATCATATGCATGGAGTAATGTTAAGTGACTAAGTAATACTTTAGGGTAAATCTAAATAAAGTCGTACATATAATTAAATTATATCATGAACCATTAACGAGTTTTATAACATAACGGACATATATATTATTAACAAATTTTGCATTTTCTTTTTAAGAAACTTTTTTTTCTTTTTTTTTTTTGGATTTTAAGAAACGAAAATTTTAATTTTATGGTAATTTAAAAGTAGCTAGAGGGGATACAAAACATGTCAATTACTTCAATTTTTACTTGCTGGATGTGGTGTCTTAATATAATAAGTTTTGAGTCCTAATAAAATACCTCTACTTTGTATCATTGTTATGATAGATGTCTTTATATGGAATTTTGATTATGGAGCACAATACAACAACATCGATATCTAACAGATGTTTTATGCAAAATTTTCCTTGGATTATTATTGGATAGAATTTTTCCATCTGGTACTTGATTCAAGAGAATATGACACAACATTTCAATTATAATCCAAGGAATTGTTAACATTCTCGTGTGACATTATATTGTTTCATTGATATATATGTGGATGCCCACTAAGTTTATGCAAAGTGTATGTTAAGGATGAGAATTAAATTCTTGATCGAATCATGTTTAAATTATTGCTTATTTAATTAATTTGCTTTTAAGACTCTTTTTACACCAAAACATTATCTAATATAATCTTTTCTCTAGGTTAACTAGTTTAATTGGTTTTTCGTATTTTATGTATTAGCTAGCTCGGTAACTAATTAACCATGCACATTATATTACTCGTTTATATAATTAATTAAATTAGTTAACATAAAATTATTGTGTAATAGTTTTGTCATCCTTACGTGTGATGGTATATGTTATTACAAATTTGAATTTCTAGGGTATTAACTTCCTGTTTTCTATATATTTGTTGAAAGGATCTTTAATATAATGATAAATTATTAAATCGTGATTATTATTCAAGTTTCAAACTTAACTATTTTGTAAAAGATTCCCTATTTCATTTCCTCTCTATCAAAGGATTGCGTGTCTATTTCAGATATGGGCATAGGGCTATACAATTTGCAAATTTGAATTAGAATCTTTCTGTTGATTGATTATATGCTAAATTTTTAAATTGAAATGAAAGAAATGTCAACAATTGAATATAAGGAATCAGTGTCAACCAGTAGCAAATTGTGTTTAAAATATTATCCCAAAAATAAGCATCTAGTAATGAATTTCAAATAGAAAAAAAATCAAAAGATTGCCAAGTCATATGCCTTATATTAGTTGCTAAACCACTAATTCAACAATTAATTATGGTTTGATGATTCCGGCTGAAGTCATACATTATCTGCTCCAAATCGTAAGGGTCCTTTTTGCTTTTTTCTCAATGACTGACTTGCAACTAAGTTGATGAAGTTGACATGTAGTGTGACCAAATTTTATCTCTCTTTATATCGTGATATTTTATTCCTTGACTTTTTTTTTTTTTTTTTTTCTGATTTACTTAATATTTTTTTGTATTCAATTCGTTTGATATGATTCAGTTTTTCATTTTGGGATGTTTTATAAAGTTCAATTCACTTTTATATCATTTTTTTTTTACAAATTTTTTGGTACCTTAATATTATGCTTTTTCAATCCGTCTAAGTTACTTTATCGATCTAATGTAGTACATTTTTTCTTTAGACTATCAACTTTTTATGGCATACTGTGTTTCATATATCATACAGTATCCATTTTTTTCTTACACCGATTCACTTTTTTTTTTTACTTTTCTTATAATATAGAACTTACCGTGATTCAAACTTTCAGATTTGGAAAGAGTATTATTATTACCCTAAATTAGTTTGTGTACTCTAATATAGAACTATAGAAGTAATAGTACACTATATATGGATCCCACAATAGTTATTGCCTTCAATTATGCATGAAAAGTTCTTGCTTGCGAGGTTGCAAGAAGAGATTCCAAGTTCTCATGACTCCCCTTCTTTAATATGTATTCAAAGTTAGTTGTCCTTTTTCATCCGGTAAACAAATTATCACAAAAATACTGATATGGAAAAATATTGAAAGAATCTGTAAGTGACTTTGAGCTATTAGAGACCGATCGAGGTGGAGAGTACGGACCATTTACGTGTTTATAATAGGTTAATTTCTCTCGGTTACCATTTCGTGGGACATACATTTCATATGTACGCAACATGAGATTATTCAACATACACCAACTACGGAGTACTAGCCATCTTTGATAATATCTGTTGTACAATGGCTTAGGTTTAGCCATTTAGATATATACATATTATTCTTTTGATGAGTTGTTAACATCTCGATTCCTTTTAATTAACATTTGAATTTTAGAAATACAAATAATTCAAATTTTGATCAGTTGGTGCCTTATCTTGGTGGTTGTAAAAGTACCTCCAAATGACATCCAACTTGCACTATCAACAATTATAATATTTTTGTAGTTATATCCATAGTAGGGTTACCAATACATCATGATAACCTAGGTTCCACAAATCACCTACCCTTCTTTTGCCGTGCTTATTTATTGCTTAACCTAAACAAGATTCTTCTCTTTAAATCATCATGAAAAATGATATAAGATGAGAATTATTATTATTATTGAATATTCTCATGAGATTTTGATTTACTCATTTAGACTTTAGTAAAAATGAAAAAAAAAAAAAAAAATTATTTTTATTTTTATTTTTATTTTCTTGCAAAGATAAAGAAAAAGATGCAACTTGTAATTATTAATCAATCCAATGGGCCCACAATTTTATAACCACAAAATACAACTATACTTGCTATAAATGTGACCTTCCAGCAAAGAGCTGTTTTCATAGGTGTTAAAAAACAGTTGAATCAATACATTGTCAACATAAACTCATTATTCATACAACAATATAGTATAACTCGATACTATTGTTTAATTTGTTGTTGTTGTTTTTTTTTTTTTTTAGAACAAATATACAAGTATGGATGATTCAATGAGCTCCACAAATTACATGAGTCAATCTCAATCTTCAAATTGTTCAGAAGAGAGTGGTTGGACTTTGTACTTTGAAGATTTCTTAGCCAACAATAACTATGATAATATTCAAGATCAAGATGATGAAGATTATGAACATACTTCCTTCTCATCTTCTCAGCACCGTGCTACGCGAAAGCTTTGCAGTAGTAAACTAATCTCCCAAAATAGAAAAATTCACGCCAAAAAGTTTGTTGATGAGGAGTTAGAGGATACTGCTAGTTCTCCTAGCCACAGTCCCAAGGTACGTACGTATTATCATTACTCCCTCTGTCTTTTTTTTTTCTTTCTGATCAATTTCCTTTTTGGTCCGTTTTTTAGTTGGTCCCCATTCGTGATTTCATAAAGTTGGAGAAAGAGAGGAGTTAGCATGACCTGTTTTTCTTTTTTACACAACACGTGTCATCTGCAAGTCAAACATGAAAGATTTAAAAAACGAAGGGAATATAATCAATATATATATATATATATATACTATTAGAAATTTATTGTATGAACGTATATCCTTTATTCATGGTTAGTTTTGTTCAGATTGACGACTCACCCATTTGCTTCCTTATTTGCGTAGGTTAATGATTTGAAGGACTTATACATGAAGTCTAAACAATTGGATACCCAAGATGTTTATTATCAGGTACGTTATTACCAACTTATTCAACAGAAATAATGAATTCTCGTATTATTTTTATTTTTTAATGTTTGTGGAGAATATTAAGTTTATATTTGTTTGTTAAATTGTGTTATAATAGGCTTATAATTCCAGCCATTTTCAGAGGAAGCATACGAAGGACGACATGTACACCTGTTTGTCACATCCTTCACAGGTAACTATAACACATATTTATCAAAAAAATTGTACATATTTTTACTGGTACATTTGTTTTTTTAGAAACTGTACTGTTCTCGATTGCTAAGGATATATGTAAATGCTACGGAGTTCTTCGTACTTCGTATGTAGATATTGACATCAATGGTAAATTAAAGATAGTGGTAATACCGTAGTAATAACAAGTTTTATCACTACAAATACGAATAAAAGATACAAGTATATGTATTGCACAATATGCAATATGAGTATTATTTGGTTTTATTAGACCAAAAAAAAACATTGTTACCTAGTAGTTTTTGGTGCATTTGGTAGGAGAGCTTAGCTTGATTTGTGTAGCAAACATGGCTTACGTGTAATCGGTCTTAGTCTGATTGGACCGTTCTTCTTAAGAAATAAAAAGATAGTATTTGTCAGCTTTAATTTAAAGTCAAATATGACAATTAAAATTTTTGTAAACACGTGTGTTAAATCATAAAAGACGGTTAATATAGAACGAAATCAAAGGCATTATATTAATATTCTACTTTGGATTTTATGCAGGAAATAAATGGGCTAGCTTCACAGAAGGAAGGGGAAGGCATTGATATGGATTTTCTAGAGACCCAATTGAGGAAAAAAGGACTTTGCTTAGTACCAATGTCAATGTTATTAAATCAAATTAGTTGAAATATTCAATTATGCAGGCCTAGTTTGTCAGTGTAGCTTCCTCTTTATGTAAATTGAGTAGGGGAGAACAAAAATGGGATTTCTCTCCATTCAATTTAATGATTATTCAATAATAATGGAGGAAATAGCTAGGGTTATTTAGAATGTATGAACAAGATCCTTTAGGCCAAATGTCTTACTATGTAAAAAGTAATATTATTTGACTATAAATTAGGTTTCATGTCGTACTAATAAAGAATTTAAATGTATCTATATATTGTATTCTCTTATTGCTTACCTGAGCTGGTTACCCCATTTAAAACCCAAATTAAGTTCTTCAGCTCAAAATATCATTTTTATACGGTAACACTCTCTTCGATCCTACTTATACTTCTTGTTTTCCGATTAAGAAGAGTCAAAAGTTCTTTGTGAAGGCTAGATAGGCTTGAATAGCTAGTCAGATCAGGCGGTATGTGGTTATGATGGTTGGTCGAGGGTTGATGTGAGTAGGCGTGGTGGTCAAGGTGATGGGTCAACAATGGGAGATTAAGAGGTAGGAGGAAAAGGGAGAATGTTTTTTGGGGCTTAGATGCATGTGGGGATAGGAATGGGAAAATTTATATCCCTAACTTATACTTAAACCCTTAATTAGACTTCCTCTCTAGATATATACTTTGCATGCACGTTTTATATACTTTCTTCGTTTAAAAAATAATACAACATATATGGAATTAAAGGAGGCACAAAAATTAAGGATGTGAAAAAGGGGAAAGAGAAAAGGATAATAGACTCCACTTATGACTTTCCCATATAATTAAGAAATTTTTTTTAATACAACATAACACGTATGTACTTGATAATTTCATAATTATTAATTCTAAATTTATGTACTAGTTTAACTGGTGCACTATGTGTATCTGTTCTGTATTAATATTCCATATTGTAAGGTAAATTTACAATTTCGTAGTACAAAAATTTATATGGAATAAAACATTGCAATTCAATATTTGTGAAATTTACTAAATAGGAATAACTTACAATAATTTTAAAATTGAGCTAAGGAAACACAAAAACAATGATCAACACTTGATAGATTTTTATAGTTGAATTGGTCTATAGAGTTGCATAGATAAGGATTCCCTTAAAGAAAAATTAAAGTTATATGGTATATTGGAATTACTCCCTCCATCTCTAATTTTTTCTTGTTTTAATGGTGATTGTCTAAATAAACAAAATAAAAATAAAAAGGAAAAAATCTTAGAGATAGAAATTATTTATCATTAACTTCAAATTTTGGTCCTTTTGATCCATCATAATCGAAAGTAAAATTAAAGTTTTGGTCTTTTTTATATCCATATTATTCTTTTGGATTTATAGGTAGTTAGGATTCAGACCAAATTGTACGACAAAAATTAAACAGACACAAACTACATACAATCATGAGTTCATGACAATCATTTGATTGTCGTATAATTACTTCATCTATGCTCTAATATTTGTACTAGCAATATTTTATTTGCGATTCTAAATTTCTAATCAAGCCAATATGCAGCTGTAAAGCTAAGCAAACTCATTATTCTAAAAAAAAAACATATAAATGTATATTAAAAAAAAAAAAAAAAAAAAAACAAGCTTTTGCTTTTTATATGAGAAGAATATCATTAATAATAATAAAACATAATACATGTAAAATTACTATAAAGATTAGTAAAGCACATATTTCAGCACAACTCTAATCTCCAACGCTTCAAGCTTGACTAGCTAGAGGCTAGAGCAATGTTTTTTGATATTTCACATATTTCCTGGTGAAAGCCTACGTACAATTTGATCTGTTTTATAATTGTTTTGATTAAAAAATTGACGAAAGACTCCAAACCCTTTTTGAACCTAGACCACTTTCCTAACTATTTACTCCATAATAAAATTCAGCATACCAACTTTTAAGAATTAAAAACCCAAAGAATTGAATAAGTTGGTGATAAATTCGCCTTCTCACATATATATGGATTGAATAAAGAAGAAAAAGTAGATCAGAACATTGAAAGAAAATACGGACAATGTTCTGTATGTAGAAAATAGTCTAATTTCTTCATAGTAAGATCCTAAGCTAGCTAGAAGGAGGTTTATTTAAATAGAGAGAGCTAGGAAAGAGAAATGGTAATTTGTGTAGATTGTTATACAAAATTATTATTGGTAAATGGAGCATGCTTGTGAATAAATCTAGGATTGAAATGTCAAAATTGGAGGTTATTTTTTCTTTCTAAAAGGCTCGCAAGAAAAAGAAAAAAAATTAAGAGAACCTCCAGGAAAATAGTCAAAATACCTAGTAAAATCAAAATTGGAGCAAGTACATGCAAAATATGCGCCTCTTTTGGTATATGTTAACCTCAGCACATACAAATATCAAGTACATATAAATATGTAAAATAATAATTCAAAAAAAAACAGTCTAATATTAATATTTTACTACGTTATTAAAGACTTCGCGAAATTATAAATACCAAGTATTATGCAGAATGCAGACTCCTCCATGATGTCAATTTCTCATCTTTATGTGAAGATTTACCTGCATTTATAAAATGAGGAACTTCCTTAAAAACTACACTAAAATTCTGAATATAAATTTGCTGGTTTCTCTTTTTATATTGTTAGAATTCAGGGCTTTTAGGGGTCTTTTGATTCAACAAATTGGAATGAAATGGATTGGGAACCCATATGGAAACCACATACCTTAGTAGCATAGAATTTGAAATGACAACTTTTAAAGTCGCATTTGTAATTCCCAGACATATCCCTTGCTCCTTCTACTAAGCCCATCAGCCTATTAACACATTACCAACCCTTCAATTAATTTTTCATCAAGCTCACTTCATCTCCTTCTTTCACCATCACTACTCCTTGACGTCTCTGCAACTAAATGCTTTGTCATTTCATCCATTGAAGGCAATCATAGATAAAGGGGCTACCATAAGTCCTAATAATATCAATTTTCACAATTGAAATTCAAGCATTATAATACAGGGAATTGATTTAGGATTTCAAATGAATTCCTTTATCCAAACACTACCTTAATGAATTCCAAATATACTAAGTACGTCAATTAGGTATAATATGATCTAAAGATATTTAGTGATAAAAAAACGTTCAGCAATAAAGTGTGTCATAAATCATTTTTAATGATCTAATATGAACTTATTTTTTCTGATTTGATCTGAACATTTTTTTTCTGAATAAGTATCAATAAAATGAACTAAAACATGGCCTAAGTTTCAACCAAATTTGACAAAGTTCAATTAGTTCCAATTAAGTTTGAAAAGGTACAATATCCCCTCTCCTCTCTCCAAAAACCATAGCCTCCATTATATTGTTGAATTTTGGAGGGACCTCCATCGATTTTTACCGGTGGAAAGTAGGGCGGCCAATCCCTGACCCGACTTGATAACCCGACCCGAAGTTACTGAGAGAAACCTGAACCCGACCCGAACCGAACAACCCGAATTCGACCTGATTTGACCCAAATTTCATATTTCGTAATATTATTAAGTTTTACACTTTTTTTGAAGAGTCTAAGCACAACCCGAAATTTGACCCGAACCCGACTTGCTAACCCGAATTGCCACCCCTAGTAGAAAGCCCCCATCTTTGTTTTTTGTGCGTCTTTACCTTTTTTTTTTTTTGTTCAAGGTTTATAATAACTTTTCCTCTTTTAGGAGGAACGTTTCTCCCTTGTAAGAAAGGGTTTTTCTACTTTTTAAGGAGGATTTTTCTCCTTCAAAAGAAAAGGTTTTTCTTCCCTCTTTTGAGAGGGTGTTTGTTTTTTTGTTTGATGGATTGTTGTAGAGTTGTTTCATGGTTAAAGATTTGTGCGGGATCGAAAAAGAGGTTAATCTTTCGATTACAACCAGGCAAATCAGGCGAAAATTTTCATCACGGCTACTACAAATCGATAAAAGCCTTCGTTGAAGAAAACTGTAAATCTCAGCGGCGTGAAAAAGGGTATAAAGAATGTACGATTTGCAACAACGATCGTAACTTTACTGAAAATATGTTTTTATTTAATTCAATTGTCATGTATCTATTTGATATAAATCTCTTGTAGATGTCATATGACTTTATTTAAAAAATAAAAATAAAGTACAATAAGTTCAATTAAGATCAACCTTGTCGTATAAGGTTAAGTTTTTTAAGTCCATATTATTTCCTATACTTTCGGATCCTACTTGTAAATAAGTACAACAAAAATAAGTTAATTTCAATATTAATAAATAGAATAATGTAAAACCGCGATTAGTTTAGTTCATACTTTTTGGGAGGAAGAGAAAAAAAAAGTTTGACTTTTGGGTAAGTATACAGTAGAGTATAAACTGCTTATTCAATTAGCGGTTTACAAACCATGTTAATTTGTGACTTAAAGTCTATTAGGGCTGACTTTAAAAACGGGTATCTCTAAATCTAATAGTTATCATGAGGTGACTTAAGTGTGTAGGTGATAGCTGGTTTCAAGATCTTTCCAACCATAAGTCATTTGTGTAATATGATTAAAAAAATAAATAAATAAAAATAAAATAAATTATGATCGTTTTACGAAAAATTGCCGAAGAATAGGTTGCTCGTACCTCCTGTCCTTTCAAATTGGCTAATATCGTCCGCTGCATTTACGCCGACTTTTAATTTTTAATTTTGTTTATCAGTAATACATTTTCGCTTAAAACTTATTTGTTTTTATTATTATTATTATTATTATTATTATTATTATTATTATTATTATTATTATTATTATTATTATTATTATTATTATTATTATTATTATTATTATTTTCGTTAAGTTATATTAAATTATTAAAAATTATACTTGTATTTCAGTCAGTGAATGCGACGAAAGCTTGTGGAGTGCTCAGATCTTCTCGTGAGTTTGGTATTATGAAGTTCATCATTCACGGGTTGTGGATAATTGGTGATTCTGTAAAGCGGTTTGGGGTACCTTTTGATTTTAAGGTAAGTCAAATGTAAATGTGAGACCTATTTTGCGTTTTACAAACAAAAAAATATCAATTTATCAATGGTGACGGCATGAGAGTCTCAAGTAAATGAGGGGAAAAAGAGTGAGTTGGTGATGACTAATGTTGAACGTCTTTTTCTTATTACGAAAATTGAGGTTTAAGGTCTATTATCTAAAGATCCTCAAGGGTTAAATAGTCTACACAAAAAATGAAGTATTGTACTCCATCTGTATTTTAATAAGTGTTATACTTTGATCAAACACGCATGTTGAGACACGACTTTGACCATTAATCTATCTAATTATATGCTAGTAAAATAATAAGAAAATTGATATTATGATAGTATACATTATAACGAATTCCACCATGGATTATAAAATAATACTTGTTTTTTATATATTAGTAAATTAATCAAGTCAAAACCATTACATGAATAGTAAAAAAAAAAAAAAAAAGTCAAATTATAACACTTATTAAAACACGTAGAGAGTATAAGAATCAACAAATATTTTACTTTAGTATCATTAATTAATTAATGTGTACTATATAATATGACACATATTTACTATACTTTGATGTGAAATTGAAATGGATTTGTATCTACTTAGAGTTTCTATCTAGTTAGAATAGATTTGAAATCTTTGGGGTGGGGGTGGGGGTGGGTATGAAATCATAGAGGTTTGGAATAGAGTTAGATACCATTAGTACAAGACTCCATGGCAAAAAATGCTCAACCAAACATTAGAATGGCTTTTACTCCATTCCAAAAGGCCCAACCAAACATCCCCTAATGTGCAATTAACAACATAATAATGTAGATATAATAGGGAAAGTCTTGTATGTGGCTAGCCATACGGTGTGGCCACATTGGTTTATAAGAGTAATATTCATTTAAATGTATGAGTAACCTCATTTTTTCATAAGAGTAACCCGATGTTATCCATAAAAGTAACCCAAATTCATTATACGAGTAAAATCAAGTAATTTAGAAATAAATATCCCCATTTGTTTATTTAAGTAACCCATATTCTGTTGTTTTAAAAAATGAAGGAATAATTCCACAAATTTAAGAGAGTAACCCCTTTTTCTCATTTAAGTAACCTACATACGTTAAGGTAACCCTATTTGCTCATCACCGGACCCCTATTACTTACTTAATTGTCTTATAGTATGTGATTATGTGAAGTGGTCACACCATGTGGCTAGTCACATATAAGAATTTGTGTAGACAAAAATAATAAAGGATAATTTTTTTTTTTTTTTTTTTTTTACACAAACAGAACGAACAAACAAAGGATAATATTGGACACACAAATTTGAGAAATTAAATTGATACACCATCTGTTTCACTACTTTTATGCAGCACTATTTACTTTATGATGATAAAAAAAATTGCAACACTACTCCTTTTAGTAACTCTTATAACTTGGGAGGGTTTTTTGGTTCCTTCTAGGGTTTCTTTCTTGGGAGAGTTTTTCTAGCCTCCATTGCTAGATATTTCTGCTTTTTTGAAGGTGTTCCTTCACTCTTCTCTTTTTCTCTTTCATCTCTTTTTATCTGGTCTCAATTGTAAGTTTTTGTGGGGGCTTCCACTGGTATTTTTACTGGTGGTAAGCCCCAAAAAAACTTTTTAATTGCTTTCAATAATTGGATCTCATCTTTATGATGATGATTATCCTATTAGGCTTATTTCTTTGTTTGTTCGTCTGTCAAAGATTGAAGATTTAGGGTTTCATAATCTCCGAAAGTATCTAGAAGACCATATAAAGTTTATCACCCAAACAACTATTCATCCATGGATCTCAAGCCGAATTCGTGCTAATTCACAGATTGTATTGCTTCGGATGAAGTTTTTTATTAAGGCGATTGTTGATCGAATCTGCGATGTAACTAGTTCTAAGGTGATTTGTACTTGTGTTGGAATTTTAGATTTTCTAGAAATTGTTTGTAAGTGCCATTTGGCTATCTTTCATTGATGAAATTATTTTTCTTCTTGGGAAAAAAAAAATAACTCTTACAACTTAATTCATTTACTTGTATAAAATAAAAAATAAAAAAAAATAAAGGCACAGGATAGAAGTGGATACCGTGAAATTAAAGAGGAGCAGTGGAGAATAGCAGTATGCTTATCCGAAATTTTTTGTACTAGTAATTTTTTAAAATTCCAGTCTAAGTAAGATTTTTTTACTAGTAATACTACAACAATTCGGACTTCTTGGGTTCTTATCTTGGCTACGGTGGTAGTTTCTCATGGCGGAGTATATGGGGATCAAAGGCACTCATGAAAGAGGGGGTGCTATGGAGAGTGGGTAACGGGGACAGTATTAATATTTGGACTGACCCATGGATTTGTGATGATGAGGGTCGGTTTACAACTAGCGCCCCTACGTCGGAGCTAACAAAGGTTAGTGATCTAATAAATTTCGAGAACATGGCTTGGGATTATGAACGGCTGCAAGTTCATTTTAATGAAAGAGATTTAAAAGGCATTCTTGCAATCCCTTTAAGCTCAAGAACTCCACCAGATGAATTGACACGGGCCTTCTCAAAAAACGGCATGTACAATGTGAAGACAGCCTACATGCTTGGTAAGGGTTGCAACCTTGATGACTTCCACCGTGCTTGGGTTGACATATGGAAGGCGAATGTAATCCCGAAAGCTCGTAATTTTCTGTGGCGGCTATGTACAAACACGATCCCTGTTCGTTGGCTCTTAAAGCACCGTCACCTTATGGAAATTGACTTGTGCCCATGGTGTGAATGTGAAGCCGAAACCTGGCAGCATGCTTTCTTTGAGTGCGAGCGAATCAAGAATCTCTGGGTCAAGTTGGGCAGTGCAGAGATGAGAAAAGATGTGGGCTCTTTATCTCCATGTGACCTGATTGAAAGTTGGAAGGATGTGGAGAAAGAAGTCATGATCCGAGGCATCTATCTAATGTGGGGAATATGGCAGGATAGGAATATGAGGTGTTTCAAGGGAAGGATGCTATCGTGGATTTGCTTGTAGCCAGGGTATTGAGATGGGTCGAGGAAAGTACCAACTTATCCAAAGCCTCCAACAGAGCTGCTGCTGTCAGTCTTTGCTCAAGCCCGAAAAGATGGACTCCCCCTCCTATTGGGACCATCAAGATTAATGCAGATGCATCTGTAATGAGTGATGGCTGGGTTGGGTTGGGAGTGGTTGCGAGGAACGATAAGGGGGCAGTTTTGTTTGCAGCATCGAGAAGGATTCGCGCATGGTGGTCGATCGAAATAGCTGAGGCGAAGGCAGTCGTTTGGGCAATAAGCTTCGGCTCCAAGTTTGGATATAGCAATGCAGTAATTGAGTCAGATTGTCAAGCCATTATCACAAGACTTACGAAGGAGGCAATGTATAGCACTGATTTGGACTTGGTGTTAGGCGATGCAATGGCACAGAGCACTCCCTACGGTAGCATACAACGGAGTCATGTGAGACGGGAAGGCAATACGGTAGCCCATAACCTTGCAAATTTCATTCCTTTCGATTTTGAGCAAATTTGGGAAAACTTTGTTCCCCCTAATGTAGCCCCATATGTACTTATGAATGCTATTGGCATTTAATTTACTTGTTTGCTTCCCGTCAAAAAAAAAAAAAAAAAAAAAAAAATTGTTTTCAAGTCACCCGATTTTCATTGGACATAAAAGATTATTATTGACAAAAACTAAATATTAGTCCGTATCTCTTTTTTTTTTTTTTTTTTTTTTTTGTTTTACCTTAAATTATGAAAAAAGTAACCAGTACATGGGTGTAAAAGTATGATAACAGTATGTAAATATAGTAAAAGGTTGGGTGAATGTAAAAAAAAAAAAAAGGGATTGTTAAACACCGCCCTCAAATCTCCAAATAACGCCCACAAAATAAACCTAATTTACAAACTTACCCTTATCTGTAAACAAAAACTACCATCTCTATTCTCCAATCACTTTCACCGCTACCAATTTCACTCCACTCTAAAAACTTTCAAAATTAAATTAGAAAATTCAGCAAAATTGTAAATAAAAAATAAAAATTGATGGAAATCAAAGAATGTGAATGTGAATGTGATTAATTAAATTTCTTAAAAAAAAAAAACAATTAGGCGAAAAAAAAAAAAATCAAAGATGAGAAGAAATTGGGTTTGTAATCCCATCTCGCCACCTTCCCCCACTTTCTTCCTATTTTCAGGAGAGAGAAATTGGGTTTGTATTTTGCTTCTTCCCAGTACAACATGCATTTCATTACAATCCTCATCAACCACCACCTCCTCCCTTTACTTACAAAATCACCACCACCCACACTTCAAAAACATCCGAAACTGTAGATCTACGCATCACCATCTCGCGAAAATGCCTGTAGGACAAGGGGAAGGCCGTTGTGGGGGATGCCGGCGCATCAAAAGTAATTTTTTTTTATTTTTCTGAAATGGGCGGAAACGCCCAATTATTTCGAAATCTCTACGCCCAGAAATTTCGAATTTTCGACGGAGATTCGTAATTTTTAGGCGTTTCATGTGGAACCGCCCAAAAAGTTCGAACCACCGTCCAAGATTCGAAATTTCTGGACGTTTCCTACTCTGTTGTGCAAAATTTATGGTGGTAACCGATGGTTGTTGCCTCGTTGGTGACTGGTGACCACTGATCATAATTTACATAGTTTGACAATATAAATTGGGTAACTTTTTAGTTTATGCCTTTGACTAGCTAATATGTGAGATTGTGAGGAAGTGAAGTATGAAATTGTTAGTTTGCATTGACTGCGAGAGTAGGGTAGCCAACGGGAAGGACTTTTATATGTTTTGTGATGACCATTAGTAAATAAAATCTCAAGATTTTCTAATAAAACCTGTAGAAAAGCTCAACTTGGACGAGCCAGATCCCAGATGTTTTTGTCTGTTAAAAACTTTTGAACTAAATACTTATTTTGTTAATTGTAATTTTTTGTAAATTATATTTGATTAGTTTTATAACAAGGGTAGGAGCGTATTTTTAGGTTATAAATGCGGACGTTACTTGGAGATTCGAGGGCGATGTTTAGCTTTCCAAAAAAAAAAAAAAAAAAAAAAAAAAAAAAAAAAAAAAAAAAAGGGTAAATATAGTAAGTAAATACGGAAACGTACAAGTATTATAGGCAGGGTTTTTAAAATTTTATAACAATATATTGATAAGGAGTATGTTATTTTTCCAGGGAATACAAAGTCTAGTTCATTACTGTACAAGGATATGAATGGAAATAAATGTTTCCACAGGTCCTGAACTGCTACAACTAAAATTGAGGGCTTGTAAATAACAGCACCTTGTGTAAGACAGGCCTTGTCAATTTGTCATATTGATAACTTGATGGTCATATACAGTGAGCCCTGTCACTAAAATTTACAATTTTTTATTTTTCTCCGGAAGTTTCTCTAGCAACTCTGGTATTATTTCGAACAGGTCACCAACAAGCCCATAGTCCGCCACCTGCAAAATAAACGTATGCTAAATTCAAATTCAAAGAAAAAGATTCTTCAAAAAAAAAAAAAAAAAAAAAATTTTGAAGAAAAAGATAGTGTGATAGCAGCATTCTGTGATAAACTGTGTTATTGGAAGGGTGACTGGAGGTGATTCCTCAGGCATAAGTTTCCAATTTTCGGTAGGCAGTACCTAATACTAATTTCCATGCATAAATCATATCATACTAGTTCCGACTATATATTAAGTTCTTATATGCAATAAGGAGAAAAGTGATCATACTAATTCCCAAATTGGAGGGCCAAGTTTTATATCATTCCTGAATTAGTGCATCTATAACACGCCTTAACATGATCTTTTCCGTGGTAATATGTCAAATTAGGTTATGGGTATTGCACTATTGCATTAGTTCCACATTGGCTCACCAATATGCAATCTGATTTCCAATTCCTAATCACTGAGAAAGAACGGAGGGGAGGAAGATGTACATTCGCATAATTGCTGTGATTCAGCGTTTCTAGATGCAAATGTACTTTCATGAATCAAGGGTACAGAAAATCAAATATAAATCTTCAGTTTCATATGCAATTAAGCAATAAAGATAAGAAAGCTGTTTTCCTACCTGGAATATGGGGGCATCTGCGTCCTTATTTATTGCTACAATCACTTTGGAGTCTCTCATGCCAGCCACGTGTTGAATGGCTCCTGATACCCCAAAAGCCATGTACAGCTCTGGCGCAACAATTTTTCCTGTCTGTCCAACCTGAAACAAAGACAAAGACAGGAAAAAAAAAACTCGAAGTTAAAAATGACCGTGTTCAGTAAACTATATGATGAATAATTTTATATTTATCGCTCTATATTTCTATAAGCACCAACAGTGAGTTGAGTGTTGCATACTAAACGTCAATGGAAAACTATCTAGGGAACCTACTATGGATCAAAAACAGAGATTGTATTGACGATAAAAGCTTTCTGTCTGACTCAGCTAAAATTTAACTTTACACTGTAGCCTTCCCATTTGTGAAGGCGTCCATAGCTCTATGCAATTTGGATGTCGATGTTGATGTTGTTATACTAATATCAGCGTATTGTTGGAATTTAATATTGTTGAAGCACTAGATAGGATATTTAATACTTTGTATTTGTTTAGCCTTCAGTCTTTCACCCCACCTACACCCCCTCCTCCCCCTCCCTCACAACACAAACACACACACACACAAAAGATGTATGAGTTTTTTTCTAAGAGGTTTTCTTTTGATTCCATGCAAAATACTTACCTTAATAGATTTGACGGCATTTTTTGAGTTCCAAGATTTTGAAACTAAGTCTTGTTTGAGCTGTTAATGTAGGAAGTGATATCTATTTTAGAGGTCCTTAAAATGATTACACAATTTGAAAATGTTAATGTTGATCTTTTCATAAAAAGCTTCAACCTGCACCCTTTCATAGTGAAGCTACAAATATTAAACACGGGGCGTTTTTTGAGTTCCAAGATTTTGAAACTAAGTCTTGTTTGAGCTCTTAATGTAGGAAGTGATATCTATTTTAGAGGTCCTTAAAATGATTACACAATTTTAAAATGTTAATGTTGATCTGTTCATAAAAAGCTTCAACCTGCACCCTTTCATAGTGAAGCTACAAATATTAAACACAGGGAACTAGACAATGAAAACAAAAATACAGATCTTAGATCAAGCAGTCTATAAGCACAATAAGGATTCAGGGTCACTGATTTACCTGTAATTCATTGGGAATGAATCCTGCATCAACAGCAGCACGTGTAGCTCCAACTAGAAGGAAGCAAGGAAAAAATACAGGTTAATTACCTGCTATGTTACACATGTTAAGCACAGAAGAAAAGTGTAAAAGATATTTAACTCAAGCTCATATTTATGTAAAGTAATTAACAAACATATGTTAAATGTTTTTAAATACCTGCTGCATCAAGTTTCTCAGCAAGCTTCTCGATCAACTTGAAGTTCTCAGCACTTTTTAAACCTCGTCCTCCAGTCACTACAATGCGTGCATTTCCAAGGTCTGGGCGCTCAGTTTCCTGAGTGCTACGCTTAACAAATCTAGATTTATCCAGAATTTCTGCAAATGAATTACCAGAATCAGAGCTCATAAAAACTATACTTAAAAGCACAGATATATACATGTATTTCATGGGAAATTTTGTCAAGAACTACCAATTAAAGCGCGTGTTTTAGAAACAACTACCTATTAATTTTTTTTTTCAAAAAACTACACAAAGTTGTAAAAAGTTTAATTAGCAATACCACTCTAACAATTCCTGCTAGAATCTCCGGCATGTGGCTCCCACTTTTTACCTTTAAGAAGGGTAATTTAGTCAATTTAGATGGTGATTTTACGAAGGAAAGGTAAAAAGTGGGACCCACATGCCGGAGATTCTAGCCAGAATTGTTAGAGTGGTAGTGCTAGTTAAACTTTCTATAACTTTTTGGTAGTTTTTTGGAAAAAAAAAAAAATTTAATAGGTAGTTGTTTCTAAAACACGTGTTTTAATTGGTAGTTCTTGACAAAATTTCCTAGTTCATGACTCGGAATTGTATAAGTTGCTGTCCAATACCACCTTGAGGCTCTCATTTCATATAATCTAATTCAAAATTAAAATGGCAATGGCTATATTCACTGCCAAGTGTGACAACAGAAAAAGCTTGTATATAAACTAAACACAGACCTTCACCAAAGGCTGAGAGATCAACCTGAGTAATAGGAGCAGCATCGGATCTTGTTTCAGATGCTGGAACTGGAAATGAAGGAGCACGGACAGTCAAGATGCATGGAGACTCGCCAGTATATTTAACTGTACAAAGAGCATTTCCAGCATATATTGGCCTGTCATAGTCATTGACACATAAAATCCAGTGGGTTTTAGAATAATAGTCTTAGCAATTTTATCAAGAAGAAAAAGGAATAATAACAACAAAATCCAAACTAGAATGATGAATCAGATGCATGAACCAAGAATCTATTTTAGGTGGTCATCTACAAAGATACTATTCCTCCATTCACTTTTATCCAGTGCTACATGCTCTTGCAAACCAACTTTCATCATATCATTATTCACTCCCTAGATCCAAGTCATCTTTAGTCTCCCTAAACTTTTTTTTTGAAAATTCCAATAGCCAAACCCTTCACCTTCATGGCCACTGCATCGTATTTTATTCTCCCTTATATAGTTATATAATCCTCAATATCTGTAACTTCAACTTTCCCCAAATATGTACATTCCTAATTTTATCTTTCAAGGTGTTACCAACTTAACACACATCCATCTCAACATTACATCTATGCTACATGTATTTTTTAATGTACTTCTCCTTAAAAGTCCAACATTTGTATGCTTATTTTGTGAGATAACAAAAGCAGATAGGAGTAGCAAAAATACCTCACAAATTGATGAGACCCAGGTATCCCAGTTACATCAGTTACTGGAGAAACATCTAAAAGCGCAGCTGCACGGGGCAATATATTTTTACCAAATGAACCAGAAGCAGCAAGAATATGTGTGTATCCACCTTTCTTCTGAACTAATTCAACCAGATTTGCCCAAGTTTCAGCTAAAGGATGCATTAATTTATCTGAATCGGCCACAAGCACCTACAAGACATATCATTAGCACAAGATAGTACTATTTTTACACTTTACTAGTTCAAGGTACATACTTCTAAAAAAGATAGGGTAACCATGATCATCCAATAAAAAAGACATCTTTTAGCCCAATGGAAGAATTAGCTTTCAAAAATACGAAGTAGAATTTTAGAGATTTAGAAAGCTGCTCAAGGCTTCTCAGAACAAAATACAAACGGATATGACAAGTTTGTATGGTAAACAAGTCATTGACAGCTATTTCCAACTCTTACTAGAAAAACCACCAATATTCAGATGGCAACTCCATGAAAACTTTTCTTCCAAAATGGCTAGATTTGACCACAAATAGTAGTGAAATAAAAAAATTCAACTTCCATTGGCTATCCAGCTCAAATTTTCAGTAGTGTCAAAGTTGCTTATTTCTTTGTTTTGTGTGTTCTTTGTTTTACCACTTATCTCAAAATTCTTTGTTTGTTTCTACTTTGTTCAAAGATTTTAAGTCATATTATAAACGCCAAGTGAATGATATTATCCTATAAGTCTACATTAAATAAGAAAAGGCACATACCTGTGAAACTAAGGGATGGCACAAGGAAGCATGTGTTGCAGCTTGTTGGAGAGAAGGACCAGAACCTGCCAATAGCATGGAGATCGAATTATCCTTACTTAAACACTTTGCAGCCTCTACAGAACTAATAGACGATGACTTGATGGAACCTCCTTCATGTTCAGCCAACACCAACGTGCTAATCTGTTCCATTAAACAGTAGATGTAGCCTCATTAAACACAAATAAGGTGATCAACTTCATGCATTCTACAGAATCACAATATGATGATAATAATTGATTATTGATACACATGTTACATGTGTAGGCTATAGCCACTTCTAAAATAGAAATTGATCTCCTTGATTTAACCACATGTTAAAAACTAGAGTAAGTATGCAAGATTTGAAAAGAAAGATTTGCTTATAAAGTTGCAACATTTGATCAGTATATCAGAAAATGTAAAAGTGAAGCAACAAACTACACGAGGTGCAAGCATTGCATAAACATATGATGATGGTCACAACAGCATAAAAATAGACAGTTGAATCCAGAAGACATGGAGAGAGCAATTACTGAGACAGGCCAAACCAAGAACCACATTCACCAGACTCACATACCATTGTTTAAGTTTCAATAAATCTAAACATCTAAACATAGAAGAAAGATGTTGAGCAAAACATAACACACTTTCTAATACAGATATATGAACAATAAAACAATAAGGAGCAGCAAAGGGAAGCTCAATTAGTAGGAGTTTCCCCTCTTGCATCTGCATCACAGGTTTAATGTTCACCATGAATTAAGGGTTGGGTTGGATTTGTAGGTTCAGTCCTCAAAGAAGGCAACATTTACTCGTTACAACAAAAACACACACAGATGGACCATTAACGAAAATTATAACCGAGTTGCACACTCTTTTATTATATCTAAAACAGAAACGTGACATTACAAATCAATTTCACCATTAGACAAATGAAGCAATCATACGGCCGCTAAAATAAAAACACACAACAGCAATCAGACTATCTATCGCGGAGTTAGAAGTGCACATCTCAATCGAAGGAGCTAACTAAAACTCTATTGCAGTTTACTGATGAATAAATTGTGTAACAAGGAAATTTAATTTTCAAACTTTCAATAGCTAATCTTCCAAATAATTACAACCACTACTTACTAGCATTGCAAGTAATCATATCAAAAATATCAGCCCTAATTAACCATGATTTTCCACCATAATCAAATATGTATTTCAGTGATTACTTTCAATTTCCAAACAACAATTGCTAGTCACATAATTCAAATTCAATTGATCAATCAAACAGTAAACTAAGTTCGAATTCAAACAGTCAAACAATTACCAACCATAAATTAACAATCACCCATCCAAAATCAGTGTTAATTGGTTAAAATTTCGATCTAATAATCAAAAATCAATGGATAATAACTTAAATTCGATGGTAATGCAATGATCAACTCCCTCGTCCCAAGAATTTGAGATGATTGAAAAAGAGAAGCTTACAAATCGTGAAGTGGTGGATTGTCGGAAAGAAAAGCTTGCGTTGCGAAGTCGGAAAGCCTTAAGCATTGCTCCAATCGCCATTGAAGAAGAGAGAGAGAGGAGAGGTTGATTGAGAGGAGAGAGAATAGAAAAACGTAGAGGATTTGTATTTGTACTTGTTATTTAAATTGCTCCTAATTGACACATGAAGATTGTACATGCACTAGTTTAATTGAAACTAGAGTCATATCAATCCTATGATATGAGTCATTAAGCTCATCCATGTCATTGGAGAATACTCCCTTCGTTTTTAAATATTTACTGTATTTTTAAAGCGGATGGAGTAATTTTGAGTTAAAATTTTGTTAACTTGAGCTCCGATCCTCCTTACCTTCCTCTTTTTTTTTTTTTTTTTTTTTAACTGTGGAGTTCCATGGTAGAATTTCGCCACCAAATGGTGGAAATTATGCATTGGTTTGTGTAGAGGTGGGACCCACACTAACAAGCATATACTCTCTTCGTTTTTTTAAATGTATTACTTTGACTTTTGTATTATTCACATATTGTTTTATTTAATTTTTTTACTATTAAAAAATAAAATATTGTTATTATATAGTATATCATTAAATAGTCACAATGTCTATTTTCATAATTTAATTTGTAACAATTTTTATTAATAGACAACTAAATATATTACTCTAACGATCAAAGTTACGTCTCGAAAAATGTATCAATAAAACTGATGCAATTAAAAAAATCAAGGGGAGCATAAAAAAAAATAAAAAAAATCTCCAACATCGCAACCAAAATGGCATGTTATGGAGGAAGTTTACGAAGAATACATTGCAAAAACTCGTCGTTTTAGAGTTTGAAAAAAATGGTGAATTATGTTGTAACGGGGGAATGTATTAAGTTGGTGAAGGGTGATAATGCATTTATCTTTATAGCTTTTGCATTTCAATTGCATTTTATGAAAAAGTTACTAATGTATGTACGTTCCTGAAAGTTTTTTACACTTTCGTTTTAGTACGTTTTTAAAAGTTTTTTACGCTTTTATTTTCATAGATTTTGGAAAGTTCTTTACACTTTTACTTTATTTCATTTTTTGTAACATTTTTCACTCCCTCTATTATACTTTATTCAACACTTCTTATACCAACCACCTTTTTACACTCTCTTTTACTTTTCCTACCTTTTTTTTTCTTACCCCACTCACCTTATTTTCGTCTCTTCCATATTTTATGGAGTACCTTTTTTCTTATGCCTAATTGCTATCTTAGGTTTTAAAGAGGTAACAAATATGTGGAAACCATTACCCTCAAGTAATGGTAATGGTAATATTTGGCATTTGTAATGGTTCAATACGAAGTACTTTAATTGAATTCATTTCCAACCAAATAACACTCTTACCAAAGAATCAAACATGCTCTTAAAGTAGCTGAGTACTACCTCTATTACATTTTATAGATAACTTTTGAATTTTTTTATGTACTCCCTCCGTCCCCAAATTTTCTTTCCATTTGGACTATGCACGTTTGTCAATGCAATACTTTAACCATAAATATTGTTAGTTGATTATTAACGAAAACTATAACAATTGAATACTAATAAACTATTCATTTAGACGAATCAAATAAGACTCGACATGATTATATTATGTCTTATATATTAAGAGTAATTTAGAATATTTTCCCACCTTAAATAGTGTCAAAATTATAAATGGAAAGAACAAATAGGGACGGAGGGAGTATCACAAATTATACCCAAAGTAACACATAATATGTAACAAAGATAGTCGATAATTTCTGAGTTAAAAACTTTTGACACAAGAATGGAGCATGGAGTATATGGGATCTTATCCTCCTTGGGCTCCTCCTCATTGTCAAAAATGTCTAGCACTCTAGCCTATTAGCTTAATCACCTATTGGAATTTATTTTTTTAGTAGATAAAGAGAATTTCAACCTCTAACAGGTAACCCGAAGGCTGACACAAGTCACACAACATGCGGAATTAGTACATTCAGGCATTTAGCCATGTATTTCATATTTGTAATGAACTAGTTTTCACATTTCCCCGCTGTTGACAAGGTATTCAAACGGGCTAAAAAGTCGCGGGCTTCCAAACTATCTGCGGATTCAAATTATAATCAAGGTCTTCTCCCTTTTCTCTCTCTTCCTAATCTTTTTCATTTCAATTGCTATCAATTGTTTGGGTTACGAATTCCTTACAAATTTGAGATTTTTTTGGGTGATTCTGGGTTAAATTCATTGCATTGAATTGATTAATTCAAATCAAAGCTCTTGAATTTGATTACATTTTCATCCCCTTTCTTAATTTAATTGTTGGATTACATTTTCAATTCCCTTTTCCGGAAAATTCCAGAACTCCCAAAATGGCAACAGAATCATCTGAAGGAGAAGATGAAGGAAAGCTAGTCGGAGGTAGCAAGGATTTGGTTGTAGATGGTGATTTGCGCGAGATGACGAAGAATGCAGCTTGGAGTGTCAGTTCTTGTAAACCTGGTAATGGCGTTCAATGTCTCCGAGATGATAATTTCGAAACGTATTGGCAGTTAAGAACACTTCTTCTTTTCTCTTTAATCTTCAATTAGGGTTTTCATTTATATAATTATAAAGTTTTATATGAAATTTATGTTCCTTTTGTAGGTCTGATGGAGCACAGCCTCATATGATTAACATTCAATTTCAGAAGAAAGTGAAATTGCAAGTAATAGGGTTTACTTAATTTGATTTTAAAATTTGATTCGTTTGTTGTTGTAATTTGTTTGGTTTTTGTGGTGTGGTTGATTATTGTTGTCTGAAATTAATTTGGTTTCAGCTTATTGTGCTGTATGTCGATTTTAAGCTCGACGAGAGCTACACACCTAGTAAGATATCGATTCGGGCTGGTGATGGGTTCCATAACATGAAGGTAGTTTTAAAACATCAAACATTTGAATGTTATTGTTCCTTGTTCAAATTATTGTATTGTTGGGTTTTTTTTTTGTAAAATTTACATTAATGTAGGAAATAAAAGCTGTGGAGTTGGTCAAGCCATCTGGTTGGGTGTATATCTCATTATCTGGAAATGATGCACGGTGATACATTTCGACTAATATTGTTGTCTGATATTGGTTTGGTAGCTTACATATTAGTCATTTGTGAACTGAAATCACTTTAACCACATACATTCTTGTGAAGCTAATGGCTTTAAATCCAATGCTTGCTGTTTTTTATTTTTCTAATTTTGGATTACCTTTTTCTAAATCATGGTTGAAGCATTAAACTTGTAATGTTACGTTGTGAAAATATGTCCTCCTGAGATTTCTCATCAGTATCCATAGCTTGGGAGTCAGAAATGGACAGAGATGAGCGATTTTTAGCTTTGTTACAGGCGCTTCTATAGTCATAGCCAGAAAAGGTAGCTGATGAGCCTATAGGTTATTATAGTCCAATGATTTTGAGGAATTAATTATTTAGAATAGTATTCATATCTGGCTGATGATTGAATCTTCCAATTTTTTGGAGCATGAGAGGACGCACAAGAGGGTGCTTCTTTCTCCGGGGATTGGAGGTTTAGGGCAGTAAGGTTCTTATCTCTGCATTAGCATATTAGTATAGCATTCAACATAATGGAAATATCAATCTTATCTGTGAATATAACTATATGTGATCTCAATATTTATCTCCTTGCATCAAAGCCAACTTTCATTTTGAGACCAAGGCTTTGTTGTTGTTGTTGCATTAAAACCAACTCTCATTTTGAGATGAGGCTATGTTGTTGTTGCAAACCAATTAACCAACTCTCATTTTGAGACTGAGGCTGTTGTTGTTGTTGCAAACCAACTCTCATTTTGAGACTGAGGCTTTTTTGTTGTTGTTGCATCAAAACCCTCTCTATGCTCTGACCTTTCCTTGTGTAATGGCGTATAGTAGGTTTATGTATTCTGTGTCTTCCACATACTGCATCAATCTTCATGTCATTATCTTGGTAGCTAGCTGTTGCTTTGAGTAGATCCTTTCCTAGTCATCATCTTGGTGTCAACATGCTTCAACAGTTCATGTTTTGGATCCAAAAGTAGATCTAGGCTTGAGGTTTGGAAAGTTTGGACTCGTTGAAATCCTGGAGCCATATTTTCTTATATTTCTCTTCAGATTTACTGCTACTTTTGTATCCTACTTCGTATATCTCATTGTATGCTTTTACTCTATTTGCTTAGATGGTGCTTTTAGCTATGAGCTTTTACTTCAGAATAGGGAGTTGGATCATACTATTGAATAACTTCGTGTTAGTTTACATTAATGATCTCAAAAAGATGTATTTTAGACTTTAGAACACCTGTTTCTCGAGCCAATATCTGATAAGTGTTTTGCATATTTACAGGGAAACTTTTGTTAATACTTTCATGCTGCAAATTGCTGTTTTGTCAAATCACCTTAATGGAAGGGATACCCATGTGCGCCAGATAAAAGTTTATGGACCTAGACCGTATGTTTTTGTTGATTAGTTTTTCAATTCTTGCTTCATTTGTTGCCTTTTCCTCTGTCTAAATCATCATTTTTGGGTATGAACTGTAACAGGAATCCTGTTCCGCGTCAGCCATTTCAGTTCACCTCTGCTGAGTTTTTGACATACTCCACTGTCAGATGAGGATAGTGAGATGCCATTGTTTCTGTATCACTGCACTGCTGTATGCCTGTATATGTAGTTTTTATTGTTGCTTTGAGGCGATCTTATTTTTTCCTTTATTGGTAACCAAGGGATGAAGCTATAACTGCTGATTGGCTGCCTTGCAAATCTTGTTATAGAAGTATACCAAGCACTCTGCCTGAACTGTAGGAATTAGCTAAGGATTGGCCTGATTCATATGGTATTGCCTAATGAAAATGTATAACCGCTGATTCGCAGCCTTTATGCTTTTTCCCATAATGCTCAACTATAGATAGGTATACCTTATTTAGTTGTTTGTACTCCTAAATGATAAGTCGAGGATGCTGATTTGGCTTCCAGCTGATTTGGTTTGTTTCCGGCAATGTCTACATTTGTTCAATTTTGCACATTTTCTTCCATTTTACTTTGGTAAACCACTTATGGAACTTGTAAGCATTTCTAAAGTTATAACAAAAATAAAGTATCGGATTCACCACTGATATTAGCAATCTCGGCCAATAATAAATTAACATGTAGAATTTCTGTTCGCTTCCATTGTAAACTGATGACACCCCAAATCTAATTAGGGGAAAAAGTCTAAAAATATCCTACTTGTATATGCGGTGCTCTAATTTGTGCTAGGTTGTAAGTTGGAATATGGTAATTTACTTGTCAAAATTAGAGTTGAAAGCCAATTTGGATCCTTGAATTATCAAAATTTGATGGTTTAGATAGTTTTCTTGTCGTCAATGACATTTTTGTCTTTTACAATTTGTCAAAATGGTTCCTAATCTTCTTATTTTCAATACTATTGAAGCATTTTCATTTACCTTTTTTCTAATTTAATTTACTTTTAGTAGCTTTTCTATACACTTCAATGAAATATGGAGTAAACAAAAGCTTAAGTAAAACAATTTTTTCTTGCCTTGAAGAGTTTTGACAACTGGTTCTTACTTCCTCCATTCTTTTTTACTTGACCCGCTTTGACTTTTACACTATTTATCATCCCATCTTTGACCGTCTTTTGTGAATTATATGTAAGAAAAAATATATTCATGTGAGATCTTGTTAGAATCGTCTAAATAAGTACTATTATAGTATATAACTTTTTAAATTTTTATTTATAGAGAATTAAAGTTATTGATGGTTAAAGTTGTGCATCGACAAACGTGATAAAAGAAACAGGTCAAGTTATAAAAGAACACAGGAAGTACATTCTAAAAGGAAATTTTGTAAATTTCAATTTGTAGTGCATTTTCTATTAATGAACGAAAAAACTTCTCAACATGAAATTACTCTTTAAGATAACTTATTTAATGCTGGTCATGAGCTCATATTGCAATTTGTAATTGCATTCTAAAAAATACCACAACTCAAGGCGTTTGTATTGCATATGATCAACAAAATACATGGCACGTTTTAGCTGAAAACATGAATAGTTTATGTGCCTGACGCATACAAACAAACAAAAAAAAAAAATTAACCTTTCTTGGGTGGGGGTGGGGGTGGGGGTGGTCCTTTACTCCTAACATTGATTAGGGTTTGAAGTTGCTTACACAAAGGTTTACAACTTTCCTTGCATATTGCCTTTGTTGCTTGGTGTACTCTCATGCATACCTCCATGCACGCATCTGGGCAAGGCGGAATAGGAGGTAGCGGCGGCATTGGTAAAACTACCTCCGGAGGACCTTCTTTAGCATTACTTGATTGTGATAAAATTATCATAACCATAAAAATCATCACACTCACCCCCTTCATTCCCATTCTTATTTTCTTGTCTACACAAAATTTAAACACCCCCTTTGCAGGGGTGTTTTTTAGGCTTGAGTTGAAGACAAGAAATAAGAAGAAAATAAAAACTTATATTATTAGGATGGAATTTGAGAATGTATAGAAGAATAGATTATATAGGTTAACTTTAATAACTTTTAAATGGTCTATAAATTAACTTTAAAATTGTTGTTAGTATGTTATTATTAGTTAGGATTAGGTAGAATTAGTTGGTTATATTCTATATATAAAACACGTTATTGTTAATTGCTAATATTTGGTTGTGTTTACATTTTGAAAATATATTTCAACAAGTCTATAGTTGGGAGCATTAAACATTGAACATTTGCATTATTTGTGGTTTGGTGTACTTTTAATTTATTTTGTTGTAGTTGGATATGATCCCCTACCCCTTGTAAATGTCAATCTATCTCTACATAGAATAAACACAAGAATGAAGTGCCATAATAATCTCTCTACACCCGAAAAAAAAAATAATAAATAAATAAATTTACTTGTAAAAATAATTAATTACAATGTATTATTTGATTTTTTTTTAGAAAAATGACAAATATTGTTGCATTATTTTTGAAATTTAAATGATTTATACTTTCTCGGATAATAGACGATACAAATTTTTTGAGTTATGCCACTCATTTATTCTTAGATCAACTTCGTATGGGAGCCTAATCAATTACAACACAAATATGGAAAATTTAAACTTCCTTATTTTCTCTCAAAAAATGTGGGAATATTGAAAAGGCTACATGAATAGAAATACACATTTTTTCTAAATAAAGAATTTTGCACTTTTCTAATGCTTACTCTCAAGTATACAAAGAGCGGTGCTTTATTTTAGCTTTTTTACACTTTACAACCAAAATAATTTTGATCGAATTTATTTTGTATTTACAACGGAGTAGTTTTGATTTCATTATATATATCATATGACTTTTCTATTGATGAATTAATATTACTCTCCATTACTCCATTAGTAGCAAATGTCGTCATAAAACTTCATTATTAGGATTTTTTTCCAAACTAAGCTTTCTTAACAAAATATTTTGCAAAGTGTACTCGTGGCCAAACTATTTACCAGACTAAGCTTCTGGGGTAAAACGTTGTCTCGGACAGCGTTTTATACCCTTGTTTTTTAAAAAAAAAATTAAAGTATAAAACGCTGTCTCGAACAGCGTTTTTACTTGTTGACTTTTTTTTTGTGATTTTCTTAATTTCTGATTTTAAAAAATAAAAAAATAAAAAAAAAATTCAAATACACATAAGACGCTGATTGAGATAGCGTTTTATGTACAATTTTTTTTGTACATAAAACGCTGTCCCAGACAGCGTTTTTCTGCCGGACTGCATTACCAACAGCCTCCCCACTCCAAATTCTGCCCTCAACACACCACCCCCAGCCTTCAATTAGCCACCACCCTCAAACACCACCCTCGCCACCAACCCCTACCGTCCCACCACCACCAACCACCACCTCCCGCCACTTTCGACCACCCTTATGCACTTCAAAACACTCAACCACCCCCTACAACACTACTACCACCCTCACCACCAACCCCAACCTTACCACCACCATCGACCACCACCAATCACCACCTCCTGGGACTTTCGCCCACCCTTAAGCACTTCAGAACACTCCGAACACCCCCAACAGCACTACAACCACCATGAGCCACCACATTAACCACCACGGGCCATCGCTTCTACCCCGTTTCTCATTATGGAGCCCAAATGTCTTGTGTTTGATATACATCGGCCTAGAAGGATCTATTTTGTTTGACATAAGTCCGATTTGGACAAATAAGGAAATTAAACTTCAAACCACACACAGATTCATTCAAAAAACATTTATTATATTAATAATGTAAGTGTTATATACATCATTCTAGAAAATCCGACTACAACAAATAAATCATATAATACTATCCCGACTCATTTATTTAGGGTAATGGTTCTCTATCCTGTCTGTCGGCCCCCCGTCTAACATGACGCTGCATGTAATGAGTAATGGTGGTGAATGGGTCTCGGGGCGGTGGGGGAGTCTGCTGGCTGGACGAAGGGTCCCCTGGGTAGGGGTGGGCGCAGAACTATGGATGATGTAATCCTCTGCGTCTCTGGGTGACGTAGGATCACCTCCATCGCTACTCTGGCCGAGATCGAACTGTGAATGGACGGAGTGGCCATCATGACCGTCCCGCTGATGGACGAGATAGCCGTGACCATATCTTTGTAAGGTAGCCATGCCCATATCTCACACCCGCTCTGGCTCTGGTGGGCCCGTCTGCAAGGGCGACTAATAGTGCATCAACCATCGCCACCATATTCGTCGCCTGCAGTAATCATCGATTGGGTACATATAGGCACCATTTCTACATATATCTCAGTGGGAACACCCTTCTTTGCAACAACGCTCCTCAAAGCTTTTAAATGTTTATTTGTAGAAACAGGTAACACTTGAACCCCATTGACAGTCTCAAACCTCATTTTAATGTTTAGTTCAACATTCCTTGGGTTTGAACCAATACTACTATGAACCTCGTTCATCAAATCATTGAAAGTCATGTTCGGTTCAAGTGTTAGTGGTTCCACATTTCCTCCACTATACTCGACACGGGGTCCATCGAACAGAATTTCACCTCCCCATCGGCATAACAACGTAACACAACATTTTGTGCAGCCATATTCTACATAACAACCAAAACACATTATACATAAAGGCACTAACTCATCCCTAAATCGCCATATTTAAACAAAAATGTACATACTTTTCAAATTACAACAACTTAGAAGCCCTAAATCACCATTATTAAACAACAATGTAGGTTATCACAATTACTCAAAAACTAACAATTATCAACCATTAACAACAATTATCAACAATTACCTAAACTAACAATTCAACATTTTCAACAATTATCTACACTAACAATTTAACATTTTCAACAATTATCTCTACACTAACAATTCAACATTACCAACAATTATCAACACTAACAATTCAACATTATCAACACTAACAATTCAACATTATCAACACTAACATTCACAAAAAAAAATCAACAATTATAATTAAAAAACCTAGATTTTAAAAACCTAAGAGAAAGGGGGCAAGTACCTAATTCGACAAGGAAGTGAAGAGAGGGGGCATCGAAGCAGTCGGCGGCCGGTCATTGGCGGGCGGTGGTAGGAGGAAGACGTCGGTGGGTGGGGGATTTGGGTTGCGTGAGAGAGAGATTGAGTGAGGGAGAGATTGGGTGAGAGGAATGAAATGGGGGAGTTTGAGTTAGAGAGGAAGTTGCCTCTGTTTTACAGCAGCGATAGAAACGCTGACTGAGGCAGCGTTTCATTAAACACATAAAACGCTACCTCAATCAGCGTTTTACTACATTTGATTTTTTTTGTAAAAACATTTTAAATATAACAAAATACGAATTTTTATTTTTATTTTTAAAAAAAAGTCAACAGGTCCTGACAGCGTTTTATACTTTAATTTTTATTTTTTAAAATCAGGGTATAAAATGCTGTCTGAAATAGCGTTTTACCTTACAAGCTTAGTTTGGTAAATAATTTTGCCACGCATTCACTTTACAAATTTGTTTTTGTACATAGCTTACTTTGGAAAAATATCCGCATTATTGTTCCACGGACCAAATAACGGACCAAATAAAAATTACAGTACTAGGGAGTGGTGCGCAACTATTCATATCAAATAGAGAGCAACCTGCCATAAAATACACGCTGCCGTAGCTGCTAAATGCATGACGTGCGCTTAACACTATTCATCTCATCTCACAAGAGTGAGATACCCAAGCTCCATTTTTTCCCTTGAGATCTCCTTCCTTTTATCTCTCTCCTCAATTCTCTCTCACCAGATCCCTAATTTTCATTCTCATTCTTCAATTTCCTCAATTTACTAGCAAATATAGTCCGAACGCCATGATTTCTTCTAGCAAGCTCAAATCCGTCGATTTTTATCGGTTAGATGTCTTCTTCTGTTCTAATTTCATTTGGAATTTGATAATTTTATGATTTTTTAATTTATTGTTCTGTGATTCGCATTTTCTGGCTTGAATTTAATCTGATTTGTAATGTGTTTGGTTTTTATATCATTAATTGTTGTTGTTTGTGCTCTGAATTTTGACATTTGAGTAGCTTAATCGAGCTTGAAATTGATTTAATTTAAATTTTGTTTATAGAATTTTGAGTGTTTAAAAGGAAATTGTTTAGGAATGTTGAATATTTGAGCATTTGAGTGGATGCATTGTTGATATGATTGTTTTTGAAAATTCAAACTTCGATCAATTTGGACTGTAAATTGTATCGGATTTTGAGATTATATTATAACAACTTTGTTGTACGGACTATATGAATTCTTAGTTTGATTGTCTGTAGTTGTCGATTCGTGTTGGTCTGGTTTGTTCTTAGTTAGCAGTGAAGATGCATGTTCTTGTTTTGCTTTACAAATTGGCCATGGAATATGCACATCATTACTCCCGCTAATCTGAAATATTAGTATGTTTATCCATATTATAGTTCAGTTCTTCAGTATTACAACAATTTGTATGATATACTCCTTATAATGATTCTTGTTTACAAATAAGAAATGTATCTAAAAGTTTGACAACTCATTGTCTTTCATTGTTGTAAAATGTTTTTTTATTATTCGAGGGAACATCTTTGGAAGTGTATTAAAACTTAAGGGATATTGGAGTATAAAGTTAAAGAGAAATTTGTTTCTTTACTTTCTAGAAATACATTAATTATCATGTATCTTAGTGAAACCTTTCCAAAGGGCATGCTTCGATTGTGGGGTAGTGCATTGGGTATTAAAAGTCAAATAAAGAAAATGAAGGTGTGCAAGGAGGACATTAGTGATGGTGGTGTGGTGAGAAGGAAGCAGGAAATGACTATTACTCTCAATTTGGAAGTAACAATTAGTCAATTATCGTAGGGTGGTGGTGGGTACCTATTATCCCCATGATGCGGGTAATAATTCTCTCCATCCCTCCCTCTTTCTTTCTTATACAGCCACTACCTTATTCTCTTTACCACCGCCTCATCCCCTTCATCACTATCTCTACTCTCTTATATTTTATTTATTTTAACTTAAATTACCTCTTTAATGCATTACCACTAATCCAATCATGCCTTAGGAGGAAATGATGGGGCATTTAGAGAATTAATATTGTGTCCTAGAAATTAATATCTGTAATTTTACCTATTTGTGTTGACTGATCTTTTCTCCATTTTGCATGCAGAAAAATTCCCAGAGATTTAACAGAGGCATCATTGTCAGGTGCAGGATTGTCCATAGTAGCTGCCCTTGCCATAATTTTTTTGTTTGGGATGGTAAGTAGCTCTTGACTGGTATCCTTAGTTTTTGCAATCATGTGCACATTTTCCTCAACGCAGACATTTTTTTTTTTTCCTTCTCTTCACCCCTCACCCAAGATGTTCAGTATGGTCTGCTTTTATGGAGTGAGACAAGTCTGGCTAGCTGAATAGTTGCATGCTTAAACTTGAATTTTTGAGGCCCATGAAGGCTCAGTTTTGAAGTGGTTGAGATCTGAGTAGTCTGACACTCTGTCATTTTGTAACTAATAGTCCATGCTGATGCTCTAGCTTGTTTAATTACTTGAGCTAAATCTGTGGCACTTTTAAAAAGTTGTTTGGCTCCCAAACTCCAATGAGTCTTTCTGGACTTTTCCGGTGATTATGGGCTTTATGGCATAAATTTTGTCACATAATTGGTGTGTCAAAATGAGATAAGCTGCAGCAGAAGTATTGCTATGAGCCATGGATATGCAAGTGGCTCAAGCTATGCAGGGCCTTGATACCCTACCTTTGAATGAAGCAATGTATTTTCCTGAGGCCAACATTAACTTCATCAATTCTGACATAAAACAAAACAAAAGTTATTTCTTGCGAAAATATTAAATAGAAAGTTATTAATTTACCCCCCCCCCCAGCCAGTAAGCCTATATCAGCTGTCAAATGTGTGACTGGTAACAACATATATGGTATCTTTGCAGGAGCTAAGCAGTTACTTGGCCCTCAGCACCTCAACATCTGTGGTAGTTGACAAGAGTCCTGATGGAGAATTCTTACGCATTGATTTCAATATGAGGTAGGATAATACAGGAACCAACTATCTTAATCAGTTTGTTCTATTTCTTTCAGATTCTGTCTTTTCTCTCTCTTGCTCGCTCCCCTTCTTATTATTTTTTTTATATACAATTAACCGTGCAAACTGGACTTGAATTACTTCGTATTCTTAATCGTTGCTTACATCTGCATTATATTCTTGTTTCATGCTGCTGCTTTTCAAGGTTTTTGGGCGATATTCTGATCAATACATTTGGTGTATGTAATTTCGCATATCTACCTATCCTAAAGTTAAAAAGCACTTTGATAGAAATGTTAGATGTTTTTAGAGTAAATTCATTTTACTCTCATTAAATTTGTTTAATGACTGTCTTCTGTTGGTTTGAACTTGTTTTTGCTCTTTGAATGCTCCTTGGGCCAATCAATAATAAGAAATATTATAGCTTAATACCAATGGTGTTCAAAAAAACAGTGATGACCTTAAGTCTTAAATTAATACTGTACATAAAGCTTTATGGAGTTTTTTTCAAGCTAAATTTAATGAATACTTTCAGATTGTCATTGGAATTTGTTTTTATGTTAAGCCTGTGGAGGGTTTATATAAATCTGACCGAGACAACCAAATGACCTTCTTTCTATCCAATATTCACAGAAAAATAAAAGAATGACGTGGCAGTGATTCCTGTCACTAGAGATGAGGGTAGATTGCCAAAACCCTCCAAAACCAAACAATCTATCCATGAGCAGGCCAGCAGGGATAAACATACAAGCTTTATCTTGAGACAAAGCTTTGCATGCTATATCACAAATGAAACATAATCATGAATATCATACCTTGGGGCTGGCCCTGTGATTCACACTGACTTGTCAAGAACTGCAGATGTTTAGTAAATCTGAAACACCCCTCTTTCCGTATTTTGATGTCTTATAAAACTAAAATTGCAACAGAAACTGGTTGATTGATATATGGAGCAAAAGGTGTAGCATTACATTGGAGACAAGTGATGGCATGGGGAAATGTAGTTGACAAGGATTCTCCCATCTTTGAAACGTTTAGATGTCAAAGGGAGCTGACAATCTTGTTTCTATCTTTAACAAGGCTGAGCAGGACCGATGAACAAAGAATATAAATCCAGCCTAGGGTGAACAGGGAACATATAGGTGCTTGCTTCATAATTTGTCAATTCTTAGACAAGTGCAAAATTGGTTGAAAACAAATCTCTGACTTCCGCTGAACCGATGATCATTATATACAAAAGAAAACTATGGAATAATTTATGTTGATCCTTTGATTTTGGTTGGACAAATGATGATGTGGTATAGAAGAATAGTAACTAGCATGGGAGTAGGCAGTTGTAAGGAAAACCTCCTATCATGTTTACAATATTCCATATACACTTATGCTGTAATATTCCAATGAAGGGCAATATACACCCTTATGAAATCTACTGATTTTCTGTTGGGTGTATTATAATCTAATTATTAACTTACTAAGATTCTTACATATAGGGTAAATGTTTTTATTTCCATAATTTATGCTGGTGTATCAAGCATATATGAGAAAAACTGTCAGTTTTTGTTAAAGGATAGCCCGAGAGATTTTCTTCATTAAGTAAGCTAGTTAAAGCCTATAGCAGTAGTGTAATTGGTGTCCTCAGATGTTATAGCCTTTTAGGTGTAGAGTATCAGTGCCTGACTTTCTGCTGTTCATTGCTACTAGTGGTTCATCTGTGGATTTTTCTATTGCTTCTTGTTCTTGCTGTTTATGTCATTTCCTTGGTACTACTCAAGGTTTTGTTTTTAGGTTGCTTTAGCATGCTGTTAACTTTGACAATTTAAGCTTTATCGAGCCAAATCATCCTTTGCTTCTTCGTTCTTTTATATGTTTCTTATAAATGTTGATTAGTAATGCTGTATGCTAACATATTTCATAATATATTTTTTGTAGCTTTCCAGCACTCTCTTGTGAATTTGCTTCTGTGGATGTGAGCGATGTGTTGGGGACGGTAATTACTATCATCCTATTGCTTCCGTTGATTTTTATGCTTTATGAAATAAAAAAAGTTCTCTGCAATCATATGAATCCAGCAATGAATACTGTAGGGGGGGGTGTCTTTCTTGCTTGGGCATGAAAAGAGCATAATAATTCTACATTGCAACTGTCATGGACTAAAGCTTGCTTGACTCTCACACACACACAATTAACACAGAAAACAGAGAGGAAAGATCGAATCTTTGATTGAAATATTGAAAATGGGGGCTTCTACAAGCTAGCAACTTTAGGCATTAGTGACTTGAGGTCACAACGCTCCTAAAGATTCACTCCAAAATCTGCCTGCCTGTTCCTTTTCGCTCTCTCTCTATTTTTAATAAAACTAAAGACTATTAACCTAGTAGTATTAGACTGCCCATAACGCCCCTCCTTAGGTTAGTTTATTACAGCAACCAATTTAGCACTTGGTTTTCTCAACATTAACTCTTCTTTACTCTTCTTTGGCATTGTATTATACTGCTTTAATGGACAAAAAATTAAAGTGGCTCATCAAATTGCATGTGCTTCTTAATATTTGTTAATCAACAACAGTCCTTGCATTTTGGACTAGTGATCTAATGGTACAGACTATAAGCAATTATAGCTCTTTGTTATCATAGGGGAGATATTGTGTATCATCGAACTAACTATTTTTAGTTCATGGGGGATTCTTGAGAGGAATTGGTTTGGCGTGTGATGTTAATATACTTGAGGTTTTTCTTACTGATTTTTGCATTTTCCGTAAAATCTCTAGTGTTGTAGCTTTTGTTGTTTCTCTCTGTCAATTCCAACTTCTCACTATCAAACTTACCTTTCTGCTGCAAAAGTGTAGATCTAATATAATAGTTTGTCATTAGATACCAGGTTTTTGAGTATTTAATGTATAGTGGGTGGCGTCCAGGTAAGGGTCTTAGACCATCTTCAATGGTGAGACTTATGGGAATTTTTCTAGGAGAGAGAGAGTATTTTTTGCAAAGGATACCAATAAGTTGGTATCTAAACTTAGCAACTCCAAAAGAAAGTTGCTAAGTTTAGATGCTCAACTTTGGGTCTCATTTGACAAAAAGTGTGGGCCCTTTATCAATATTATAATATATTTTGTAATTTATTTAAGTTTTAATTTTTTTTTTTGAAAAACTTACAATATAGATTTGGTGGGCCATAAATTGAAAGTGACATTAGTATACTTTAGAGAGTCTCACCATTGGAAAATTAGACTTCACATGAGTTGCTAAATTGAGAAGTGGGTTGGGTATCACCATTGGAGGTAAACAGCCCCGTTCCTGGAAGTTTAAAGGCCCTAGGCATAATGTAAGAAAAGGGCCCCTTACGTAAACATTTTTTTTTTATACGCAATACATTTAAATAAAAGACAATGAAAATAACTTGAGTTAAGTATAGGAATAGGGTCTATCTTTTTCATTTTTTCACCTTTTGGGACCTCCTAGTTTTTTTTTTCACCTTTGGGACCTCTTATTAACAATCCGGTAAGTTAACTCATGTTTAACTCATCGGAAAAAAAAAAAAAACTCAGTCCCTTCATTAATATTTTGCCCAAAAAACTCAGTCCCTTAATTAATATGATGTCAAATCCAAAAAACATAGGTCCTTAATTTGATTTCACCAAGGTAAGATTGCTTTTTGTTTATTTCTTCACTATTTTCATATTACATAGAATTTAGGGATTGCTGCTTCTTGTTGTTGCTGTTGGTGGCGAGCAGGGGTGGAGGTTTGGGTGCCATAATATTAATTAGCCAAAATTAAATATCTTAACCGTTGCCATAATATTAATTAGCCAAAATTAAAAGGCTTGAATTTTGGTAATTGAATAAATATGAAATGGTGTAATTGGAAAGATTAATATTTTGGAGCAAATACTCATAGAAACTGGAAGATTAGGAGAAGAAGTGAAGAGGTTATATTACATTGTAATCTCTACCTAATCGACAGCCAAGTATTTTAATGTTAATTGCTAAATCAATGCAGTAATTATGTTTTTAAAAAGTACGGAGTAAAATTCTACAACTATGCAAAGTTGCAAACTGATTTTTTTAATATTTTTTAATTTTTGGGCCCTTGCACTCGAGGCCTACCCTCAGGGGCAGTCTTGGAGGTAAAAAACAACTCATTTTGTATTTCAATACTCAAAGTTGAGTTTCACCAATGGAGATGGTCTAAGGGATTGGGCTAGTGGGCTTTTCTATTTTGTAGAAAGAAGGATTGGTTTAATTGTTTTTACTTTTAAGAAAGTAGCTATTATAAATTACATAAAATAAACGAAGTATAATTCTATTGGATATTAATGAAAATATTGAAGCTTTTGTAATATAAAATTTATTTGTAAAAGTTAAAATGACGTGCCCTTGCACCTGTATCCAAATATCGGATAGAGATCCTGTGTCCTAACTTTTTGGAATTTGCCAAATCGGACACTTGGACACGTGTCCGACACCCGTTCCTGAGTTCATGTAACTTAGGTGCCAAGTATGCTTTGGGACTAGGTAATTTGTTCAAAAATTGTCCGTGGTTCTTATGGGTGGATAGCTGCTAAACATCTTTTAAGTCCTACAGTTATTATACTCTTAACTCTTTTTTTTTTTCATAATCATTTTCAAATACATTTTGAGTTGTCTAAAGTTATGATATTTGATTTGCAGAACAGGTTGAATATAACCAAAACAATCCGCAAGTTTTCAATAGATTCGCATTTGAGACCAATAGGCCCTGAGTTTCTATCCGGAGCCACTACAAATCTCATTAAGCACGACGATGATGGTGAGGAAGACTATGGTGAAGGTTCCCTTGTTTTAAATGGGCAAAATTTTGAAAGAGCCGCACAAGAGTGAGTTCTATTCAATATAATTAGTTCGGATTTTTCGCCATATACCCCTGAGTAATTTTTTTATTCACCATATATCCATAAAATTTTTCAAATTCACCATTTACACTTAAGTTTCACACAAATATCACGAAATGCCCTTAATGGCTAACAACAGTTAACTCCGTTAGTCATTAAGGCTAAATTTGCCACGTGGCTGCATCTGGTAGGTTATTTTTTTTAATTATTTAATTAATTTATTTAAAAAAAAAAAAAAAACCACCTCTAACCCAGCTACCTTCTGCCAACCACCAAACCCCAGCGAGCAACCTCCCCAAAACCGCCGGCCTGCCAGCCTCCCCATCACGCCGATGCCGCACCTCCCCCTAACCCCACGACGGCGCCGCACTGCACCTCCCCGAACCACCGCGTCGTGTTTTTCCTCCTGCCTTGAACCGTAAAAAACCCTCCCGACAAACCACCTGATCCGAAAATCAGGCAACCACCCCCAATTCCAAACCCGAAAACCTTCGCCGGCATCCCAGATTCGCTCCCCCGCGTTGCCGCTGCTGACTTTAGCCGGAAACCATCACCCCGAAACCCTAAAATCCCAAAATCAAAACCCTGATTTGCGATTTTAGTTTTTTTTTTTTTTTTTTTTTTTTGGAGTTTCGTTGTGGTGGTTAAGGGGCAAGGGGAGAAGCGATTGGTGTTCACCGTGGGGAGGGGGGTTTGGACACCGGCGGTGGGGAGGGTTTTTTGAGGGAGAGAAGATGGGGTTTTTACTATGGGGAGAAGGTGGTTCAGGGGTTGTCGAGGTTTGGGGCCGCCAGCAGGTCGGGTATGGGTCTGGGTTATGCCGGCATAAGGGATCAGGCGAAATCCACGCCGGCGGGAGGTTGCATGGTGGTGGCTGCTAGACTGGAATTTGCTTTGGTGGTGGTTGTTATTTTTTTTTTAATTAATTAAATAATTATTTTAAAATTTAATTAATTTAAAAGGCAGCCAATTATTTGTCGCCACATGGAAAATTTAGCCTTAATGACTAATGGAGTTAATTGCCGTTAGTCATTAAGGGCATTTCATGACATTTGAGTGAAATTTAAGTGTATATGGTGAATTTGAAATTTTTTATGGAAATATGGTGAATAAAAAAATTAATCAAGGGTATATGGTGAAAAATCCGTAATTAATTTTATGTTCTTTTAAGGTTCTGTTCGTTCCTTGTGTTTAATTTAAAGATAGTTTGTTATAGAGGTATTCAAGAATGAAAAAGAGGACGATGCACCTTCAATTCTCTGTTATTTAGTTCACAAAGTTTGCATTTCTTTTTTGCTCATTGGACATTGGCATGATAAAATCACCCCAAAAACCTCTCTTCTCATTTCCTTATCTGTTATCTCTATGCTCTTCTTTCTTGACTTCTGTGCTTCATTGACCTTGCTGTGGTTAGGTTGGACCAACATGGTTCCCCACTCCAAATTTTGGTGGTTTTGTAGAATTAGTTAAAGTCTCAATTTTTAAGTGTGTGTGTGTGTGTGTGTGTGTGTGTGGGGAGGGAGGGGGGGGGGGAGAGAGGGAAGAAGCAGGTTATTGTGAAGTAGATGTGAAAATGATGAAAAGGCTAGTGCGTGGGAGAAAAGACTAAGAGTTGTTCAAAAAGGTGTTAGAGCTTCTGATTGTTTAACCGAGAAAGCTAGCCAAGTACCAAGGGATGGACATAGCCATTGGCTGGTATGGTTTGGGAAGAGTTATAAAAATAGTTTATTTCCCTTTCTTTATTAACTGTAAATTAAACATTACCCCAGAAATTTTTATTCTAATTCCGGTACCAACAAAATAAGGGTTATAGGCTTTGGTTTCTTTCCTGAATTCCTTCCCTTTCTTTCTCGTTGTATTTTCTCTTTTTGCTTCATGAACTACGGCCCCTAATTTGATTGATGACACTATGATACTTTAGTGTCAATAGTAATTAAAAAAATTTCATGTCTAGCATGGTTTGTTGCTCACTTGATGATCCATTAGAGAAATTTCTGTTGGTTGACAATAAGTTTTTCTTTTTGCAGGCATGATATTTTGGTAGTTAATTTTTATGCTCCATGGTGCTACTGGAGCAAAAGACTGGTACTCCCTCCATCTTGCAATTAGTGTTGTTTCAAGAAATTATTTTTCTTGTCTCAAAGTAATTGTTGCTCTACAACACAAAAGCAATGTTTGACAATCTTTTTCCCATATACCCTATCCTTGTTATATATCTACTTAATACTCTATATCAGCTTCCAAGTAAATTAAAAACATTTAAAGGCACAAAAATCAGTTTGATAAACATTAATTTCTATCACCTCTTTAATTGATGCTTGATGCTGTAAAGCAATATTTATGGTGAGATGGAGGAGTGTCATATATTCTTCATAAATTGCCTGAATACAAGTATTGGTGTTAAGTGTTTAGATAGAGTATTGACTGCAGTCTATGTTTGAGCTATCTGTCTACCTTTCTTACAAAGTTTTAATTGAAAGGGAGCAAAAAAAAATAATTGAAAAGTTAAGTTGTTGAAGCCTTGGGCTTGAAGATGTTATGGTTGAAGCTTTGACCATGAAATGTCTTAGATAGTTCCAATTATTGTAAGTTATGAATGGGGTTTGATTAAAATAAAGGGCTACTTGGCAGAAAATGTTTTTGCACCATACTGAGGGACCAGTTTTTTAAAAATTACTTGGGTGTGCTCTGAGATACGAAGTAAAAGTTACTGAGGGACCATGCTGCAGGCTGTAATTTGATATTCACTTATAAGTTTCCTAGTCTGGAGCATCGTCTTGTAAACGGTTTTGTTACAAGTGATCATGCCCATGTCTGTGGATAATCGTCGTTTAAAAACTTTCAATGCAGTATATCTGTGAGCTTGTTATCCAGAATAGTGAAGCACTAGATAACATCATTATTGGGATCAAAGTACAGCAACAATTGAACCATTTATATATTTGGGATGGAATCGAAAGAAAATCAGTAATATGACTACGACGGCAAGTATGTATGAGAGCGTGTTATCCCGATTAATGAAGCACTGGATAACACCATTGTTGGGACTATAGTATAACAAAATTTGCCCCTTTCTTTGGGATGCAATTGGAATATTGGACGACAATCGGTAATAGACTTTGCATGCAAGTATGTTCGTGTGCATGTTATCCAGAATAATACAGCACTGGATCTTATCATTGTTGGGACTTTGAGTACAAAAATTGCACCACATTTTATTTCTGCAGGTGGAAACTTAGATTGCCATTAGTCTTTGGCTGTTTGGTCCTTTTGTCCCGTCTGGTTGACTTTTGTAATCTGGTCATAGATCTAAAAGTGGTAAGACTTTAGGCCATGGCAACCATGTTTGACTTACATATAAGTGACTGAGTTAGGGTCTTGGTCTCTACTGCTGCTGGTGCATGTTAGTTAGCCAACTTAAATGTGTTGAACTCTTGACTGTTTGACCACACAGAAGTAGCCCAGTATATATATATTTCTGTAGACAGGATCCTTGGAAGTCAAGATCTATACATCCTTATATCAGATAAATCAGGACTGATTGAGAGGCCCCAATTTACTCTGTCTGTTTTATAATAATCGCAACACTAGGCATTGCACAAAGTTTTAGGAAAATTATATGGTGAGACCAAAGGGGGAATATATAAAGTATAGTTAGTGGGGATATATCTAATTGTTAGGAGATAGAAATAATAAAATATTTGTGCAAGTGGGGTTAGTGGGAGAGTAATAATTTAGTAGTGGGTCCTTACCAAATACAGAAGTGTTGCAATTAATACGAAACAAATGAAAAAGGGAAGTATTGTGATTAATACGAAACAGAGGGAGTGTCTTCAAAACCAATGTATGGTGACATGCTTATTTTTCACAAGCCTGTTTGTCGAGTACAATTTCTAAAACAAAATTATCTGAAACAAAATGTCAAAACCTGTTAGTTATTGAGACCTAGGATACCCAAAGCTCCGTAAGACCTCTAGAACTAACATTAACTGGTTTGAACTGAAGATAGTACTGGTCATAAGTGAAATAATGGTATTGATGCTCTTGCAATATACACCATACTTTAGGTGTACTTAACTCCATCCAACTATCCAAATATCACTAAATTCACAACATTCCGAAATCGGAAGAGCTTAAAATGGATATATACTGCTATGTCCAATGCCTACTACAACTATGCATCTGAATTCATCATCTGCAATATATTCTATATTGCACTTGTTCAACAGTATTTTCTGCTGGAACACATTGTTGATATAACATTTTCAATTTTCCTTGCAGAAACCTTCATGGGAAAAGGTAGCGATGATCATGAGAGAGAGGTATGCTGTTTATAATTTCTTTTCCTCTTAATGCATGTTGATGAGTCACTGGAACATTTCTCAGTATCATATCCGTCCATAAGGTTGTGCTTGGTTATGGCTTTCAACATTAGTCTGTTATTTTTGTTGCAGACATGACCCAGAAGCTGATGGGCGTATACTTTTGGGGAAAGTTGACTGCACTGTACAAGTTGATTTGTGTAGGAGGTATACTATCACATATTTCTTTTCTATGGATATCATGGTGATGCCATGATGTCTGAAAGTATGTGAAAATATTAAATGATCCTGTTAACTACTACACGACTGTTTTACCAGCAGAACACATTTCTTGTTTTGTCCATGTGTTATTAAATGTTTTTTTGATCACCTCTGTTATAAATGTGAAGAAGTTGGTAGTTTGAGTCTTGAATTTTGAGGTTGTTTGAATTTTTGAGACGAGTATGAGATGTATGAAACATGCTGCAGACTGTCATCCATCTGACTGTTCAAGTTTCTATACTGTATAAGCTGTCAGAATAAATTAAGAAGGGTTGGGGGAAATGTAAATCGTTTGTCTGTGATAAGCTCTTTGAATTTGGGGGTGTGGTTTGGTTTCATTGTTATAAGAACAAAAGTGTTCACTCCACTTTGATCCCCAACAAGAATCCTCTGGCAGTGATTTAGTTTTTAGGAGAAAAGGCTTGTATTTAAAATTTATGCGGATACCTCCCATGACATTTTTTTTTTCCAACATTTGGTTGGGAAAAAAAAATTACTGTGCTACCACCAGATTCACCACAAAATCAAGAACTTTGTTCATAAAATCTTAACTCCTGCAGTTTCATGCCGTTGTTTTTGCTTTAATGTCCTTTGCAATGACATTTGTAGGGCTTTTTTTATTTTATTTTATTTATTAATTTATTTATTTTATTTTAAGGCTAAAATCTTAACTCCTGCAGTTTCATGCCGTTGTTTTTGCTTTAATGTCCTTTGCAATGACATTTGTAGGGCTTTTTTATTTTATTTTATTTTATTTATTTATTTATTTATTTTATTTTATTTAATTCTTCAGCTCAATTTTCTCTTCCCTACCCAGTTTTGAAAACCTCAGAAATATTCTCCTCAGTAAGTAAATGATTATATTCCAAAGAAAGAAACGTTACCTGTATATAATATACAAAGTTCTAAAAGAGAGATTTATCTTCTAGGAACTAGGAAGGGTCTCTCCAAGCCTAAGAGCTCAAAATTCCTTTAACAGTTGAAAAATTCTAGCAAAGACTTCAGTCTCTTCATAAAGTTCCCAGAGCTGCCAAAATTGTATCATAAATGTTTGATTGGCTGCTTTTAACACTTAGTTGTTGCTCCTATGATCCTATCTGCTTTTTGTTGCATTAATATTGTCTTCATGGAAAATTTTCAGGCATCATGTGCAAGGATATCCATCTATCAGAGTTTTCCGTAAAGGAAGCGATGTGAAGTAAGCTAAATTTGATTCTCATTTTTTCCCGACATTTTCATAATCTTACATGTCACTGCACAACACCAAGTCCAACTTTGATGAATCTGATCCAAAGCAATATAAATTGTTTCTTGTTCATCTATCTGTAATGACCACCACTGTATGCTAGTGTTGAGTTCCTTTGTTATCTGGATCATCTCAGTTTCCCAAAGTCCCCATTTTGATTAAACTTGTTTCTAATAGGAATGAGCATGGACATCATGAACACGAATCTTACTATGGGGATCGTGACACTGATACTCTTGTTAAGGTAAAAGATTTTGTCTATCGACGGGACATCCGTTCTGGCTTTTATTTTTCCTTGGGTTGATTTTTGTTGCCTAGAATTGCATTTAATTCTTCTCATTTCCCCATCTTTTTCTGTAGTTTATGGAATCTCTGGTTTCAGCAATCCCATTGGGAAACCAAACTCTGGCTCTCGAAGATAAATCTAGCAATAAGACTCAGAACATAAAGAGGCTAGCACCACCTTCAGGTGGCTGTAGAATTGAAGGATTTGTCCGTGTTAAGAAGGTAATTGAACTTATTTTCTCAGCCCTGAAATTATAGTTGTATGCATATTCTGATTTTCTATGTGTACTTGATGTGTGATTATTTGATGTATTGTTGTTCCTTGGTTTCTCTACTTAAATTGGACCATATGTTTTTTTTTCTGATTAGATTGGTGTTATTGCTGTACCTTGCAGGTTCCTGGAAACCTTATTGTCTCTGCTCATTCTGGATCACATTCATTTGATTCATCTAAGATGAACATGTCTCATGTCATTACCCACCTTTCATTTGGTAAGAGAATTTCACCCAGGGTTATGACTGATGTCCAAAGGATCATACCTTATCTTGGTGCAAGCCATGATCGATTGAGTGGTAAATCATATATCAACCAAGACGAGGCCTCAAATGCAATGGTTACAGTGAGTTTCCAGCTATCTCTGTTTGTCTTATCTGTCTGTAACTCCGATTTCCTTGTAGCTACTGGCATTTGTGTAGGCATTTTAGAAAATTTTGGGTGATATTGGCAACTTAATCGCTGGCCAAATGAGAGTTACTGAGACTAAAATGGATCAGCGTTTTTGGGGCTTGAAGCTCAAGCCTTACTCTTTTATCCCAGGCTTTAATGTAATTAATACTCAAATTTTAATTATTCTGGTACGTTAGTGTTTGCTAAGCCCGAATCAATAAAATTTGTGCTGGACTACTCGAAATATAATGTATATAGTAGAAGTCAATGAATGGGCTAACCTGATATTTTTAAAAAAGTGGATTATTATTGATATAGATTGGCACTGTTTCTTTTATGCTTTTCTTTGTAGTGCTCATCTTGGCAGCAACTAATTTTTTGATAACTGCAGATTGAGCATTATCTTCAAGTGGTAAAAACAGAAGTGCGATCACCTAACGAACATACATTGTTAGAGGAGTATGAATATACTGCACACAGTAGTTTGATTCAGAGTCATGACATCCCAGTCGCCAAATTTCATTTTGAGCTCTCTCCCATGCAGGTCCGTCCTCCTTACTATGGAAATACAAGTGCAAATTATGCCTCTATATGTTGAACCTGGCACCTTTAACCCTTTTCTTTTATAAGCAGGTGTTGATAACAGAAAATCCCAGATCTTTTTCGCACTTCCTTACCAACATTTGTGCTATTATTGGGGGTGTTTTCACGGTTAGTGTTCTTGTTCATTTCCTTCCTCATTAACAAAACTTTCGTTTGTCACTTCATGAAGTTATTTGTTCTGTTTCAGGTAGCCGGGATCTTAGATTCAATTCTGCACAACACAATGCGGCTGATAAAGAAAGTTGAGTTAGGCAAAAATTTTTGATAGGAAAGTGAGTTTATCTCTCTTTTTATCCCTGTGGCGGAGTAGGCTCTAGTGTTGCAGATGCACAGTCTTCCTCATTGCTCGAACATTTGGAATTCAGGTGTAGAAATATTGATTTTGCAGCAGGCTACAAACAATGTGTATAGGAATGATCGACAAACATCTGGAGTTCTGGACTTCTCTATCTCTCTTTTCTTTTGAGAAATTTCATGAATTCCCTAAGACACACGGTCGCTTTGATTGCTCTAGAATTTATGAATTATTCAAATTTTACCTTATTGGTAATGAAAAATAATGTACGCAGAATCTAGTGGAATTGGAGCTCCACATCTTTTGGCTTGCATAGGGAGATCTGAAACCTTTCAGAGAGTTCTTCCCATGTCCTTAAAACAGACTTGTCGTAGATTACAAACAGATACATTATCTATATTATAAAAAAAACTCTCCTAAGCTTTATTTTAGTTTTGCCGAAGCTTTATTTTCTAGAGCAGGTCCGCCATTCTATCTAGAGGACTGCCAAGGCTACCCTGTTGTACTAGTCGCAATGTTTGTTTACAGCTGATATTATAATTTTGCTACACCAAGGTCGTCATTGCGGATTTGCGGACATTGACTATGCCTACCTGAGTACCTGTTCTCTCCCAAAACTGTATTTATTCTTTGTGAATTTTTGGGAGGTTTTGTGACCAAAAATCAACCAATTTATCTACTTTTTACAATTTGTTATCCAATAAAAGTTGAACTTTCATAAAATAGTTATGCCTCAAAAGGACATTCTTTAAACATGATATGCTTTTTAACTATTAGCAGATGCTAAAAGTCTCATGTGTGCAAAAAAAAAAAATTGCATGGGAATGAAAAAAGAACGCCCACCGTGGGGCTCGAACCCACGACCACAAGGTTAAGAGCCTTGCGCTCTACCAACTGAGCTAGACGGGCTTTGTTGATCATGTTACAAATTGTAATTTATTTTTACTAACGTATGGCACAATTTATTACCCTGTTACTATTGCTGCTGTTAATTCGGTTGGGTTGAGGGCACAAGGCATATATTCCTCAGGTAACATTGTAACAATACTGTAATTCTGCAACAAATTCCCATGTGACATACATCATTAACGGTTGGGTATTATCGTATAATCCTTCCTTCTCAAATACGAAGTAATATTATTTTTGTACATATATTGAGGAATTAATTATTGCATTGATAGTCAACATTAATCAGAAATATTACATATATTGAAATTTTAAATAGATTGGTAGTTTGCATTTACCTGATCTTGTAAGTAATAAAGTAATATATACACACAAGTTTGGTAATAAATGTATTATTGAAATAGCTAAGATAACGCATATATAACCTACAAAGTGTTGTTCACTTGGTAAGATTCTTACCTTAAATCTTAAAGTTTGAGGTTTAAATCATATGTATCGAATTAGATTTGTACGAGTACATAATAACTTAGCATTGTCAACTGTAAAACAATTATTTATATAATTTGATGTTTTAAAAATCATCTCTTTTGTATAGAAAGATAATATAAATGAAATTGATTGAAGTTTAGGGGGGGGGGGACAGAAAAATTGAATATAAATGTACATTTCACACAATATAATGGAATCCATTTATTTTTGCCTATACATTTAAGTATATAACCCTCAACTTGAGAGAATCACAAGACCAATATGACCTCTTTTATTCATCAAACACAACAAATAATCACAAAATACCAACTTTCTTGAGAATCAAAATCACAAGAAAATACATTCATCATCACAAATTAAAATAAAATTAATAAAAAAAGGAAGAAAATCCTCCACCATACATACATATCTTCAACCATGGAGGATCAATCAGAAAGCTAGGATAGCAGAAGAACCAACAAATGCACCAAAAACACCCATAAAACTCATGACAGTTGAGGCTGCACCATTTTTCTTAGGTGGGTTAGACTCAGCTGAAGGAGCTAAGTCAGCTGAGGGACCTAAACCACCTGCAGGAGCTAAGGTGGTGCCGTTGTCCATAGGCGGGGAGGCGATAGGTGGCTGTTGATCAGGGGAAGGTGCAGAGGCCGAAGGCGAAGGTGGTGAGCTTTTGCCACTTCTGTCTGCCATAACTACAACTGCAAGCTTCTCGTTTTTGTTACAGTTGTCTTTGTTACCACTGATGAAGTAGTAAGGGCCTGATTTGCTGAACTTGAACTCTGTATTACCATCAGTGTACTTGGCTATTGGTGAGGTTGTTGTGCAGCTGCTGTAGTCCTCTTTTGATACTTGAAGCACTGAATCGCTTGATGATGGGTACTTAAACACTAGAAAATCGGAAAAATCATGCATTCTTAGTTAATTAAAAGTTGTAACTCGAACATGTAAATCATGACTTTGTGATTGTAATGATACATAAATGACGTGGTATGTTATTTAGGTGTATAGTATAATGTTTGTATGAAAATGTAGCCTAATAATATATTGATAGTGTACATTATCAGAATCATTTCGAAAGTGAACAAGTGTACTAGTTCATGTATAGTTAAACTTGTTGTATTTCAAACATGTAAATTATGTACACTTGATTTGATGAACAGAGTATATCATAAGAAAAAGAGAAATAATAGAGGGTAATTAAAAAAAGAAGACTTACATATTGAATCACCAATTTGGAAACGCATTCTTTCAGCCCATTGATTATAAACATTACCATTATCAGAAGGAACAGACCAACCCTTAGAACCACCTACTGTAAATGTAGTTGCATCACCTCTTTGCATAAGCAATACAAGACTAACGAGCCCGAGCGCATTGACAAAGAAACTCTTACCCATGGTGTTTAATTGAATCAAAGAAAAAAAAAAAAAAAAAAAAAAACTCTCTCTATATATATGGCTCTTAGTTAAGCAACAGGCAGAGTGGCCGAGAGCGCGACGAAAATAGAGAGGTTTAGTTAGAATGAAGTGTAAGACTCTTTGGTGAGATGAAATGAGTTGGAGTGGTAGATGGGTTTATGTAGAGGAAATGAGAATTGAGAAGGGTGTACTTTACAAGCTGTGGTAAGGAAGCTTTTCTTTCTTTTACTTAATGTTATTCTGATTCTTGTTTCGGGTTTCTTAGCATTTTGAGCAAAGTATAAGAGCATATTATTGTGATGTACTTTATTATGCTATATTATCTTGCAGTTTTTGCCTGAGCTGTTTCTATTCTTTTTTCTTGCTTTTGTTTTTTTGGTGATGACTTTGGATGGAGGTTAATACTTTGCTTTGACTGCCATCCAGAATATTCATATCTTGTGTCACACTTATATTAGCAAATTACTTGTACTACATACATTACTTGGTTCCTCCATTGGGAATTATAATATTTTTTGATATGCGGGATTTGGGTGTTGTACTTGACACGGTGTTGATTGACTTTTTAAATTTTAATTTTTTTTCTTCATATGAGGTCACTATATGTTTGGGTTTTGCATGTGTTGTGTCAAAGTATTAGAGGATCTGACAAACAACACCTGACATACAACAAGGTGTTGAATTAACATAACCGAAAAAAGTTCAAATGGAAATTAGATTTTATTATAAATTCATCTTTAACACACCTAAGTCCTAACTATAGTGGTAGACTCTGAAATGAAGACAACTAATACATGACCAAGAGAACTTTATACGTTATACATTTATACATACAAATCCTAGTAAAATCAATTATGACCTCCATATTCAAATAATAAGTCACATTTAAAAAAATAAAAAATAAATTCTAGTAAAATTAATTGTGACCTCCATATATAAACAATAAGTCATAATTCTGTTTTTAAATTTCACATATTGTCATGTTGAAAAAGTTTATTTTGACAATGGTTGTCAGATTGAACATCATAAAAACACCTCAAAATCAAAATGTAGGTTGTTAGTTCAAAGTTACTCAATTTCAAGCCAAATGAGACTCAATATCTAAGCCCCGGAAGCCAAAATCTTTTACCAAAAGCCCAATCTAGGACCTAACGTATGACTGACTTAAATACATTTTATGGATTACCAAGCCATTTGGATCAAGCCTAGACTTTGCAAATGGCCCAAAATCTAAACTTTCTTTTCTGTTTTCAACTTGGCCCAAAATCTATGGCTTCTTTTTCTGTTTTACAAGTTACTGAGTTAGAGTGTTGAAATTGAAGTGTTACCATGATAATGTACGAGATAGATTCATATATCGAGAAAAGAAAATTCATAGTTAGTACAGAATTAAAAATAAGGTTTTGGTTATTTGTGATTAAAAGTTATACACTACTCCCTTTGTCTCTTATTTTTTGCCCCATATTATAATGTTACTTTATTAAGTTTTGGTTGAAAAAAAGTGATGAGAGAGAAAAGTCATGGGGTTAATGGCATGGTTGTGAGAGTAGATAACTGTTGTTTCTGGCTGTATTGTGTATTGTTGTTTTGTTACTTGTTTTGTCTGTTTACTATGTCTAGTGATGTGTACCTTTCCTAGAAGGTGCCACAGCACTAGCCATAGTTGATCCCTCTCCTGTCTTGGAACACCCTTCCTAGAAGGTGGTTCCTTGAGGGTTAGGGAATGTTAGGAGGGTGTTTGCCTTTGTATAGGCTTTGTAGTTTTGGAGAGTTACAGCTTTCCTCTTGCTTGTAAGTTATAACTTTGTTCCTTTTGGTAATAAAATCACTTACTTACCAAAAAAAAAAAAAAAATGTGGACCCATATGTCCAAAAATAAAATAGGGCAAAATTAAAAGAACGGACTAATAAGGAAATTGGGGCAAAAATTAAGGGACAGAGGGAGTTTTTGATAGCTAAAATTGGATTTAGGACACGAAAACTTAAGAATACATCAACTACACTCTAGCATTTCAAACTTTGGGGACGTGTCAGCCAAAGTCAACGTTGTTAAAAATGTACACTTGTAATACAAAGCTCCCTCCATTTATGTTTATTTGTATTAGACTATTAAATTATCTTGTTCATTTTCTTATTTTACTACTTGTATAACTTTCTTAAATACTACGGATTAAAGTAAATTTAAACTAGATGTAATCATGCAATCAAAGGTCACACGCTCTTCCCTTCCAAAAACGTGACCCGTCTTGAGCTATACAGTTGATTAATTATTTGGATTTAACAATAGTTTAAGAACATTTAATTTATTGCATAATGTTCTTTTCAAACTCACTAATTATATTGAACGGGACAGTCCAATCTTTTTTGGGATAATAAAAGCCTATAATACCAAATAAGTCACACTTTTTGCCTTTTAAAACATGTCTAATGATGTCTAAAGCAACACATATATATCACTTAGATTGGTTAAGACAATATACAGTACTCAGCCATGAGTTGAAGGAGTATATATACAAGATAGAACACTCTAACAACCTAACGGCCTAACCGCCTAACTAACTAACTAACTACCTAACTAACTAACTAACTAACAGATAACCATTGTCAAAATATCTTAAGGGCAACAATAATAGTCAACGGTCAACGATAAGATTAAAAAAGTCCAAAATTCCAACAAACCAAGAATCGATCTATTCTAACTGACGAATATAATACTCTCTCTATATATAAATATAGCTTAGAATTCTACTCGATCTCCACCCCATTTACACAAAACAAACTAAACTAAGTGTCATTCATTCAATTCATACAAAATAATACTTGAAATCTTTCTACTACTCAAGATTTCCAAGAAAGTACGGTGGATCGATCGCCATTATTGAAATCTTCCTTGAAGTGAGCGAACATCATAATAATGTCTGACTATACCCAAATACCGGGAAAAAAGGGCACAAAGAGAAAGAATCCGGACACTACTCCGAGCAGTACTTACAGTCAATATGATGCAGATTTCAAGAACGCAGTTGAAATGGTTACGGGTGTGCCGCAGCCGCAACTGCTGCCTACAGATAAGTACGACAAAATAGTTCAACAACTTGTCGGCTCTGCTGCAGCAGCTGGCCTTGATAACCTTATGCCATTAATCGGACATAGCGGCTCGGCTTCCGTTGTACAAGCCGAGGAGTCTTCAATTATCGGGTCTGCTGCAGGAGCAGGATATGATGCCGATGCCTCCGCGTTACCTAGAGAACAATCAGACTAATGAAGATAAGCAGTTAATTGATTTTTTTGGTTTGGAAGACTCAGACTCGGCAACGTTACCTGGAGATCAAGGCCCGGCCGCGATTGGAGATCAAGACACGGCAATTAATAATCAGACTAATGAAGATGATAAGCCGCAGTTAATTGATTTTTTTGGATCGGAAGACTCAAAGTTTAGGCGAAGACATGACCCGGACTCGGTCGGACATCAAGGCTCGGCATCGGTTGGACATCAAAGCTCTACTGCTACGCTTCAACAAGGCTTACCGTCGTTCGGAAATCAAGGCTCGGCGTTGATTGGACAATATGGCTCGGCTCCGGTTGGACAATATGGCTCGGTGTCTGTTAGTCAAGGCTTGCCGTCTTTTGATAATCAAGGCTCGGCGTTGATTGGACAATATGGCTCGGCTACGGTTGGACGATATGGCTCGGTGTCTGTTAGTCAAGGCTTGCCGTCATATGATAATCAAGGCTCGGCGTTGATTGAACAATATGGCTCGGCATTGGTTGGACAAGACTTGACGACGCCAATTGCAAATCAAGGGTCAAACTGGACTGATCAATATGGATTAGTTGTTGAAAATCAAGGGTCAACCTGGATTGGACATGATGCCTTGGCGTCACATGGACAAGTTGTACATGGTCAAGTCTCGGTGCCGGTTGGACATCAAGCAGTCCCAGCGCCGGTTGGACATCAAGCAGTCCCGGCACCGGTTGGACATCAAGCAGTCCGGGCACCGGTTGGACACCAAGCAGTCCCCACATTGGTTGGACACCAAGCAGTCCCGGCACCAGTTGGACACCAAGCAGTCCCGGCACCGGTCGGACATCAAGCAGTCCGGGCACCGGTTGGACATCAAGTAGTCCCGGCACCGGTTGGACAACGCTTGGCAAGCAATAATAAGACCAATGATGATAGTGCTGTGTTTGATAAGTTAGAGGAATGGTTGGACGAAGACCCCTAGTACGTTTACGTGCATGATGAATGGTATCCCAGACTTTCTTGATTTTCTTGATTCATCATCATTAGTGTTAATTAGTTGATTCTTTAAAGTGTTAATTAGTTGCTGTGTGTAGTTGGTTTGTGCGTGTTAGACACAATATTATGTAAACAATATTGTCGATACATAGTAGGATAGTTAAAAACGCTAAATCTGGACAATATCATTTACATAATATTGTGTTTTTGCACATGTATGTGGGCATCTTAATTTCGTTATGTAGCGTATTCCATTTGTATGTGTGTATAAAGATATTACTAGGTATTATATTCAATATCAGCTGTTATACTTCTTAGTTCTTACTATCGAAATAGAAATAGAGTAACTATATATGAAAAACTCATAGATGCGCAATAAATTTCATTAAGGATTTGATAATACGATGGAAATGAGCTTTGTATTATATATGTTACTCCTTATTATTTGATTCACTATTTTATGTTCATGTATATTTGTTTAATTTTGCTAATCAATATGGAAATGTAACTAAGGAAAATCAATCGTGAAAGTTAGTTAATTGATTTGTTAATTATGGCATTGACAATAGAATATGATGGGGGTGAGCTTTGTATTAAATTATATGGGTTGTTATTTGTTTGATTCAATATTTTTAAGTTCTTGTATGCTCTAAGCTAGGGTGCAATGGTTGGTAAATATAATGCATGATCTGTGCACCTGGTAATATAAAAAAAAAGGCGGACAGAACATTTAGGTGTTTGAAAAAGAACTTGCAAGTTTTTGAAAAAGAACATATTTGTGTTTAACAAAGAACATGCATTATTAAAGAGCATAAAGACATCATAAAAAGAATATGATAAAAACTTTATTAAATTTTTATGAAAAATTACACATTCACACAAAAAATCTTTACCAAAGATAGATATCATTTCCCCAAAAGTAATTTTTTTCTATCTCCAAAAATTAACTTTGCATAATAATTTTAGTGTTCTCTCTCTAAAATATTTTCAACTAAGAAAAAACCAAGATTTCATTTTCAAATTAAATTTCAAAATTCTAAATAACATATCTTATAATAACATAAGTTATAATGTAAAGAACATATAATTCATACCCGAATCACTACTAGAAATAGGCCGATTTCCGACGGACTTTTTCAAACGGACATGTATTTCCGTCAAAAAATTCAGATTCCGACGGATTTTTATTCCGTCG